AATTTAAGGAAATTAGCTTATCTAATACTAATTAGGAAGCCCTAGGCTATTTAAAAAGCATTTTTTTGCTATTTAGTAAGCCTATTATTAAGCTACAAGGGGAGGTTTTTATAACTATTTCCTTAGCCTTACTTTATATTTTTTAGCTTTCTAAAGGCTTAAAAAACCTAAAGCAAGACTTTAAAATTAAAGCTAGGTAGCCTAATAAGGTAAATATTTTTTTATTATTCTTTTATATTAATTACTAAATTTTTATAGGAATTTCTATTAGCTTATTTACAAGCTGTTAAAAAAGGGCTTTCTAAGCTTAGAAAATACTTTCCTATAAGGCTTACTAGGGAGAATTTAAGGGAATATAAGTAAGTAATTTATTCTATATCTTTACTATTTAATAAAGGAAAAAATACTAATTCTTTTAATTTAAATAGGGTTTTTTTACTTTCTATTATTTTAGATCCTACTTTTAAATTAGTATATTTTTACTTAGGGAGTCTTTTATATTACTATGCTACTATAGCAAAAGATGTAAAACATTTATTTACTAGAAACTATAAATAGTAAGTTTTTTCCTATTTAATATATATTAAAAAACCCTTAATTAATTTCTTATAGCTTTAAAGAATTACAAGAAAATACTTATTAACTAGCCGAAGGGTTAACTAATAAGTTATATTCTTTTACTTTCTTTAGTTAGTCTAGGGTAGTTACTTTAGACCCGAATTATAACTTAGAATTATATCCTAGTTATACTAGCCTTATTAAGGAATATAACCTATATTTAGGGGAAGAAACTTGTAATCTACTAGTAAGTTATTATTTTATATTTTTCTTTATATTATTTAATTAAGAAAAAAAAACTAATATAATTTATTTAGATTAGTCCTACTACTTAGTAGAATGCTAATGCTTTTTGTTATCCTACTATTACTATATTAGCTAGATGCTATTTAGCTATTCCTACTACTTCTACCTCTATTAAGAGGATTTTTTCTATTTATAGTAATATTATTACAAAAAACCAGTTATAAATTAGATTACAATTAGTTAAATAGCTTATTTTACTAAAAAGCTGGGAATTATAGGATATTAAGGGCCTTAAAAAGGAATTAATTAATAAATTAGATAAGGAAATTGAGGAAATACCTGATAAAAATTAGGACCTTCCTATTTTGGAAGAAAATCAGGATAAAGATTGATTTTAAAGCTAGTTAAATGCCCCTATTGAGATTAGTACTAATTTTAGTAGTAATATAGGCAAAGAGCTGGATTAAGTAGCTTAAAGTAGTCTTTTTTCCTTATATAGTTAATTAAAAAATAAAAAAAAACTAATATAATATATAAAAAGTAAAACCTATATTACTATAGATTTTCCTAATTTTCTTATCCTTATATAGCTATTATAATACTACTATTACTTTTCTTTCTCTTTTTAAGCTTAATTAGAGCTTTTAGTAAAAAAGATATCTTAAAAGTAAAATAATATTACTTTCCTAATTAGGAAAAATCTAAAAGAACTATATAGTATAATATCTATAAAAAGCTATATAGTAGTAATCTCTTTATATTTCTTATAGCTATATAGCTTACTATATTACCTAAAGTATGTTTTTATTATAGTAAAGCGCAAATTAGAGCTCTTTGTAAAAAAGATATCTTAAAAGTAAAATAATATTACTTTCCTAATTAGGAAAAATCTAAAAAAAACTATATAGTATAATATTTATAAAAAGCTATATAGTAGTAGTTCTTTTATATTTCTTATAGCTATATAGCTTATTATATTACCTTAAGTATATTTTTATTACAGTAAAGCGTAAATTAGAGCTCTTTTATAAAAATAGGTTTATAATAGTAAATAACCTAGGACTAATAAGGATTAAAAATCTATAAAAACTATATAGTATATAAATACTCTAAGGCTACTTTATTATTATTTTTAATAATTTCTTTTCCTTATATAGCTACTAATATAAGCCTTTTCTTAAATTTTCCCTTTAAAAATACCTATAGACCTACTTTTAACTATAGTCTAACTTAAGTTAGTAAAATTAGTAACTAGTAACTATTAGTTAGTAACTAGCTAGTCACTAGTCCAGTCTTAGTCCCTTGAAATTAGTAACTAATAACTATTAGTCAGTGACTAATTAGTTACTAGTTACTAATTTTACTAACTTAAGTCAGACTAAAGACTAATTAGTTACAACCCTAGTAAGAAGTAATTATAAGTAAAAGAACTAATAAAGAAATAGTAAAATAAAAAGTATTTAAACTTTAATTAAGCTATAAAACTAGCTTATTAATAAAACTAAAAACCTTATATTAAAATAAAAAGTTTATAACTAAAGATTATATAATCTTATACCTTTTTAGCTTATAGTTTACTTATAATTACTAATAAGTATAAGTGAAAAAAAGTAAAGCTTTAGATTTTATACTATAAGTTAAAGTATAATTAGCTTATACTTTAATATAAAAATTAGTTTTTTAAAGTTTTTAAAAATAAGTATAAAAAATAAATTATATATTTTAAGTAATAATTTATAAAGTTACTAAATATAGAATTTACTAATAATATACTTCTTAGAATATTTAATAATATAGCTTAAATAAATAAATAGTTATATCTTAAAGTATAAAGAAAAATCTTATTTAAAAACTTTATTTAATATTAAAATTAAGTAAGAAATTACTTATATAAATAAAGAGAAAGTAATATAAAATTTAAAAATAATTAACCTATAGTTAATTAACTAAGGTTATATAACTATTTTACTTTTTCTTTTAGTTAATAGAATACTTATAACTAATATTATATAAATAATAGATAATTAATAATATATAAGTATATTTAATTTAAAATTTATAATTTAAAAGAACTAATAAATAAAAAATACTTTTATATTAATTTATATTCTTTTTAGTTTACTAAAGATAATAGCTTATAGTAGTATAATACTAAGTTTCTTTATTAAGCTAGCTTAACTTCTCTTTTTTGCAGCTGTTGCTCTCTGCGATTGCCTGTATGTCCTGAAATAAGTCGTTCTCGCGATCGCTGGAGGATAGCAAGCGCTCGTGGTACTGCGACTTCATCATAAGCTATCATGCTTCCATCCAGTGACTGGCCGTTGCATAAGTGATCTGCTAAGTCCCATGCATCACACAATGCCAGATTGGCTCCGAACCCAGCAAATGGGCTTACAGCGTGATTACTGTCGCCTATGAAAATGGCTGGAACAATATCCAGCTCCTCGTGACGGAAAGGCTTCTTATCGTGGGCGTTGAGAGCGAAAACCGTGTTTGGATCGGTATGTGACACAATATTTCCGAAAGGTTCTTGAAGGTCTTTGCCAAGCTCGAGGGCTCGCTCAATTACTTGCTGCACCATCTCTTCGTTGTTGAGGTCTAGTCGTGGTAATTGATCCGCCTCGAGATGCCCTACACCCCATACCAAGCTGTTCTGATCAACAGGAGAGAAAAAGCATGATACCCCAGTTCCGGAGAGCATGAAACCCCAGTCTCTGTTCACTGGAGTAGGTGCAGGCCCATCGAATCGTGAGATGCCTCCGCGTAAGATTGCCCCAGCAAACTCAAGGGTATCTTCAGGTCGTAGATATGTCCGCAGCTTACTGTGTGCCCCGTCTGCTGCGATCAGCAGATCGCAAGTCTCCTGTGAGATTACTTCACTTTCGCCGGATCCTCGTGCGACTTGAACAGACACTCTGCCGTCTTGGAGTCGATGGGCTGAGATGCAGCAAGAGTTCCATTGTATAGAATCGGTTGGTCGAAGGTTGTTGTGGAGCACCTGCCGAAGGTCCTTTCTTGCTATCCTGACGCTGGCCGAAGGTAGCCCTTCAACGGGTTTATGCCGAAAGCTTGCGTACTCATTCCAAGCTGGGCCCCATATCTTGAAAGCACCTCCGTTGTTCAAGCCAGAGACGGCCTTCTCCAATGCATCTTCAAGAAGTCCTAGTTTCTTCAGGACGACGAGGCCACCGGAATTGTCGTAGCCAGCCAGCGATAGCGTGTATCCTTCACGTTGCGCGGTCACGTCGGAGGAATCGCGGTCATAAAGAATGATGGTAGGTTCTTTCAATCGAGGATTCCACAGTTTTCGCAGGGCAACAACAAAAGCTGATCCTGCGATACCTGCGCCGGCGACGATAATAGTCTTGCCCTCAAGAAAGTGTCGTTGAGGTGGTTCTGTGTCCATGTTTCTGACGTATGTATGAAGTTGTTGCAGAAAATTAATTCCGTGACGATCAGCGAAGTGCCTTTAAATATTTGCTACCCTGGCCTGCTTAGCCTTACATGCCATGGACCAGAGGAGCAACTCGTCTGTGATACAGTCAAGTTGCTAGAAAAGAGTCGTGTAAGTCGACTTCAGCCGTGGCGCATACACTGATTTCCTATTTAGTGTATACGGATTGCCTAATTGAGTCTGGACAGGGGCCACTTCCCTTGGCACGTCAGAGTAAAAAAGCTTAACCTGCCGGGAGAATTCGAAACTTGCCCTGGCATTTCTAGTTCTATGAGAACTCCGTTGGGGAGATATTTGTGCCGAAGAACTCGGAAGGATTAACATGTGCCCACTAATATGGAGGTAGAGAAGTATACAGGTGCACTTTCAGTGGAAGGATGTCGCTTACCTGCCTCAGCAACACTCCATCAAATGTTTTCGGTTACGAAAGATTTAATATCTGACATCCGCAGACTGAGTAAGTCTCACAGTTTCACTCAGAGTTGTGCTTCATCCTCAAACACGACGTTTCTCCAAGGGACGTATCCCGCAGCGTCAAGGGTGAGGAGCCTGGAACTTGGAAGCTTATAGTCGGCATCCCTGGTCATAGCTTTACCAGCTTCCAAGATAGCGTCCCTAACATCACTAAGACACTGATCGAGCTTCTCAACCGCAGCCTCGGCAGGCCTGGGTTCATTGGAGTATTCGGTACGGATCTTGGCGCGGGTCTTCTCCCAGCGGTTGACCCCGGGCACCCGGCTCTTGCCCCGGCTCTTCTCCAGCACCTTGACGTTATAGGCTATCTCAGTTAGAGTCGGCGTTCCCAAAGGGTCTGGAAGGCAGAAGGAAAGGAGGCAGCTTGTTTGTCGAATACGGCCAAGATCTGGATTCTGCACGGTTTCAAGACATTCAGTCGCTGGCCACAATCGGGACACATCACCATGAGCTCGGTGCAAATCACGCTGCGAGAATCGACTAAAAGGTCGCAGAAGGGAACGGGGATGGTCTCTGGAAGAGCACCATCATTTGAAAAGCCCAGCTGCAAATCCGTCACAAGTCGGTTTAACTAGAGTAGAGGTAATAAACATGATACTACAATGAAATGAATACACGATCGTACTTTGCCGGCGCTTGCTAACTGTTGGCTGGCCACTATATCATGTTGTCCTCCGCGCGCCACTGTATGACATCTCGTAGTCTCCGCATCGGTTCGAGCATGAGTTCTATAACGATACCTTCTGCCAGTAGTTCCTCGCACTGGACAAACGTGAGGCTCTGCCCATTCCTATACCCATGCTTGTCAAGAACCTCGTATATGCGTTCAAGCAAGCTTTCAGACCTCGTCATAATGGCATTGGTGTCTGCCCGTAGCGAGTCTTCCCCCGTCTCACCACGCAGCATGTCCATCTGTTTCTCCTCCTCCATGGCTTGGCAGAGTTTACTCTTGATATCTGTCTTCTTATCCCTTGGAGCTTCTCCCACGGGCGCCTTGGCAGCCCAGGCCATCATCTCCTTGACATCGTCTCCAGCTGCGCGGAATCTGTTCCACGATCTCGCATCGAGAGTATCGTATCCTAGCAGTCTCACTTGGCGGCCGGAACTGAAGGTCCTGAAGTCCTTCTCCCAAGTCTTGCTCACTTCCACAAATAGAACCTCGACAGTAGCGGTAACGCCATACTTGTCAATCTGCTCTCGCCGATGCCCGGAAGCGCTCATCAAGATTCCCGTGTCGCCCCCCAGTCGGTATCCGGAGACGTAATAGTCGCCGTACCTTTCACAGAGCCCCTCATAGCCCCCGCCGTACTTGATCTCTATAATTGCTTCTTTTGTCAAGCGTGGCTGCCTCTGGAATTCGATTGTTCCGGCTCGACAGGAAGCGTTCAACGATATTTTGTCTGACTGCGAAAGCTGGTTAACCAATCGCCGGACAAGTCCATCGCTTAGCAACTACTGTAACTCACGTCTTTGTTTTCCTGTATATGTTGGTCGAATGTGCCCTTGACGCTGACAGAAGCCAAGAATGGCAGCCCAACCCCAATGCCGAATCCCAGGGAGAGGTGATCACCCGTTTCACTCTCTCGGGTTGTCTTCACCTTCTTGAAGGTACTGGTAGTTCCGAACTCTGCATGTAGCTCCTTTGGTATTATGTGCAGATCGGACAGTACAAAGGGCGTCTCGTCCGACCACGGATTTGCTGTTCCCTGCAACCTCGAGTGATAAGTAGACCCGAGGCGAATGCATTGGCGACCCCAGGGAAGAATGATGGGCAGCCCTTGTTTCGCCTGCTGAGCAATCGCGTTATCAGCAACAGCGTGTATGTCCATGGCGATCTCGTAGTTGTGCGTGTCTTCCTGGATAGTCCCGTTATCAGGATCCTTAACTAGTCTTATCAAGTTGAGGCGAATAGTCAAGAGATCACAAAGAAACAAACTTTGATACCGTTGAGGTGATGGTAGAGCGAGCAGCAATACGGTCCCTTACGCTGCCAAGACCATGGACATTCTAATCTCTGTCCGTACTCGGACTCCGTATTACTTTTCTCTCATGCTTGAATAACATGAGAACAGATTGGAGACCTATTTGGTTATAGTGCAAAGCCCTGAGATGCGGAAGCTCAGACGCAGTATGCGGCCGTTAGGCGATCCCCGGCGGCTGAAGGGCCCAGCCGCACCCAGCCCGCTCTGGACAAGGCGGGGTCTACTAGTCTACTAGGACTATTGGCTATATATTGAATAGTTTCTTGAACAGGGGTTTCGTACAATTCATACCCTGTTTATTTGTCTAGCGTATACTTCCCAGAGCTTAGCAATAAATAAAAGAAGGATATAAGGATAGGTATCACAAGCAGGTACTTAACAGTAGTTATATTCTAAAGCTAGTTGTAAGTTACTCTCTATGGTATTTGTATATAACTGCTACTTTTTAGGCTGCAGTAATAGTAGTTAGTCTATAAAGTGTTAACTTAATTAATATATAATTGTTAGTAAGTTACAGCGGATTTGCAAGGTAGCGCTAGCATAAACATAGAGGGGGTAGATTATACTTTTACTCACTTTGAACCTCAAAGCAGTCAAGGAGATGTGATAGGATCACTTAGAACAACCCAGATGAACGGCACCTCAGCTGAAAATCTCGTTTGGGATGGGTCACAATTGCTCAGCTGACTCCAACATCGAACTATTACCTACTGCAGGGGCGGCGCTGGTCCATTCTCTAGGGTCTGGATCTTTCAGCGGTTTCGGCTGCTGTTCTGTTCAGCCGTGGCTGGCTGGTGCCTGGGTGTGTACATCTGTGTCGTATCTGTCGTTTAGTCCTAGCTACTTGTGAATATTTGGTGTGGAACAGCTGCTCATTATTCAGAATAAGAGGAACCGGACTTTTGTATAAGAACTCTCGCTCCCATTTGGTCTGTTCACTGGAACACCGTCGTTCTTCATCTCATCTTTTTTGTTTTGCGAAGACGCTGAAGTCTTCACAGCGTTGCTTCCTTTTTTCTTGCCTTCTGTATACTTGTTTGGCTTTCATCCCCTAAACAAACATCACAATGGCTCTCCTCTTGGCTCCGTACACCCATGCCATGCGACTTGGCCAAGGGTAAAACACTCCGCCAGACCTCTTGGAGAATGTCGAGTAGCTGACAATACATTACAGGTTCAACTCATATACTCAACAGATATGTGTTGATGATGCCGTTGTCGTTGACGATCAACGACCCGAGAATGTGGTGACCAACGATGGAACGACTATGCGAATCATGGCACAGAAGAGTGCCGCTCCCAGTGCCTGGACTAGACAGAAAGAGGTCATCACGAGCAGTCCTGCCACCATCGTACTCGAAGAAAATGCAAAAAAGGCAAAGGCCGAGGTTGCAATGATTGCGGACGCCCTTGCAGACATTGACGAAGGTATGGGGAGACCAGCATCGTTTGAGGCGGCCCAGCAACTGACGCAATATAGCTGCGGACACCGTGCCAAAGGCGAAAACCGAGCCAATTAATGCGCCCACAGCCGATCCCGAAACGTCAGCTGAAGCCGAGTCCGAGACTGCTGCAGATGCAAAGCTCGAATCACCTGCTGAAGAGTCGACTGCTGAAGACCCAGGCTCGGCAGACGACCTTCCTGACGCTGAGGAGGCTCGTGGAGCGTCAAAGACCCAAGCCGAAAACATTCCCGCCGTTGACACCCCCCAGTCCGGCGAGGACAAACCCCAGAAACCTCAGAAGAGTGTAGCAAAACCTGGAGTTAAAAAGATGGCTTCCGAGGCACCGAAGAGAACCGCTTCAGCGCAGAGCAAGTTGAGCTCCCTTAAGGCACTCACAACAAAGCCCACACAACCTAAAGGTGATGATGGCGCAGTCGATGAGGAGTCTATTGTCCAAAATTTCCAAGCAAACGCAACGGCTGATGACAAGGTCGACCGGGACGCGATTGCCGAAAATCTCCGCGCAAATGCTCAGAATCCTGCAGCAAAGCAGCAGCAGAAGAAAGCTGCCAAGCGAAGCTTATCGTCAGATCGAGGACAAGAGCGGCAGGCTAAAGCCTCAGGTGTCCCTCTTGACCGCGCGGCGATTCGATCAGCTCTGACAGGAAAACCGGCCCCAAATTCAGAAAAGGCGGCCAAGGAAGAAGCCGAACAAGCGCGCCTCATGAAGGAGGAAGCCGAGAGCTTGGCTGAGCAGCGAAGGCATCAGAGGCAGATCCAGGAACAGGAACGTCTCGATGAAGCCGAGCGCCGCAAGGAAGAGCGGGAAGAGGCGCGACTCGTCCGTAGCGAGAAACGAGACTGGGACCGAAAGAGACGCGAGGAGGCACGCAAGGCAATTGAAAATGCTGCCGACTTGAAGTCGACTAGTTTGGCCGATCTCGAGAAGATCAGAGCCCAAAACCAGTTCGTCGAACGTTTCAATGGCATGTCTGAGCAGACTCAAAAGTATGACTTCGACCCGACGGCGCCCAGGGGACCCAGCCAGACGGTCACTTATACATCTCGCTTTGTCGATCGTCTCAGTGATGTGATGGATGACATGAGCGTGTCTGGCTCGCTGTCTATCAAGGCAGGCAAGGTTGGCGGTTCCGGCAAAGGATCCTTTGTCGATTCGGACAAGTTCAAGGAGAGCGATCTGAACTTCTACATCTCCGTCAAGGTGGTCAACCAGACCATCAACTTCAAGGATGCGCTTGTCTTCAATCCCTTGCGCTCCGTCGACATAAGTGACATGAACAAATTTCGGGAAGTGTATGGCGACTCGTTCGTCTCGGGCTTCGTCGAGGGTGGCGAGTTCAATGCCATTGTGAGCATGAAGATCCTCAACAAGGCGAAGAAAACAGACATCCAAGCCGAAGCAAAGATCGCCCTAACCGCAGGGGCTGTTCAGATCGAGGCGGAAGCCAATGTCGGCATCGCTCGCAGCAACATCGAGACAAACACCGAGACCACCATCCAGGTTTTCTGGTCTGGTGGCGGCCATATCAAGCCCATGGAGCAGCAATGGGATATCCAGAGTCTAATGGCTGCTGCGGCACGATTTCCAGATCTTGTCGCCGACTGCCCCCAGCGAACATACGCAATTCTGACCAAGTACGACGCTTTGAGAAGCTTCGTGGCCAGAAAGCCAGCCTCCTACAGTCCACTTCAGTATGAGAATGCGCAGATGTACACTAGCACTCTCCTCGACTCATTTGTCTCGTACAAGGCCCTTTACAAACGGCTCGGTGAACAGATATTTGGCGTTCAGAACAAGACATTGGAAGTGGTACAGTGGAACAGCTCCGAGCAGACGCAAGTCGCCACGACATCTACAGCAGTAACCCCGATGGGCACTAAAGACAAGGATACAGGGCTTTATCCATACGTGGAGATGGACAAGAAGTTCGAGGCGTCCGTCAAAGGTCTCAGCGATGCTCGTACTGCCATCCGTCGGCAGATGGCCCGGATAGTCAACGAGGTCGACGCCATCGAACGGGATCCGAAGCTTGCCACGGATGAGGATCACCCGGAACCCTATCAGCCTCCAGTAGCGTTTGAGGCGCGCGTTCCCACGGTTGAGGTCCCGGAGAGGCTGCGGGTCAAGAACAACCCTCTGTCCGGTAGAAGAATTGCAGCCAAGCAGTTGACGGAGGATGAGCAGAAAAAGCAGCTCGCGGAGGAAGAAAAACAGGCTGCGGGCATCAAGGAAGTCTACAGCGCCGACGACAAGCTCGAGGCGGATGAGAAGGCTTCATTCGACAGCCTCCATGGAATAAATCCCTGCCTCGGCATCGATTTCCAAGTCTCTAGCGCCGTGGGAGAGGCCTCGAAGGGAGAGCTATTCAACAATCTCGAGTTCTTAAAACCCGAATGGCACATCCGATCGATTCGCACCGAGATGTCTGACGGTGCGCTTGCCTATCTGGCCATTTCCTACAGCAACGGTCTGCTCGTAGAAAGGGGTGTGGTAAGTAAATCCTATTGAACCAGTGTTGTATATAGCTACGATCAAGAACTGACATCCGTGTTTTCAGTCTCGTGATAAGACCAGGATCAAGAAGTTCGGGCCCTTCCTCCGTGGTGAGCGAATCAATTCGGTCTCCATCGAGCACGGGAAGCAGAAAGCACCCGAGCCGGTAGAAGAGGGTGACAAAAAGAAGATGGCACCAATGATGCCGACTCAGATTCTTGGTCTCCGCCTCTTTACCAACCGCGGCCGAGCTCTCATCGCACGAGCGCTCAAGTCGACATCAGGGGAGAATGGAGTCGTCGTCAAAGACGGCGTCAGTTACGAAAGCGTCAACGTCCTCTACATAGACGTGCCTTTCCCCCTGGGAACACTGAAGGGTTTCTTTGGAAGAAGCGATGATAACGGCGAGGGCAAGATCTTCCGCCTGGGTGTCATCTGGGGCAGTTTGCCCGAGGCGATTGGAGATGAAGTGGAACAAGAGTTCCTCGATATCAGTGACACGGTCGATGCCGAGGACCTTGCTCTGATGTCTACATCCAACAAGAAGAGCCTGCAAGAGATTCAGCAGAAGCTCGCTGATGCTCAAAAGGTTTGTGATCCTCGCTTCTGCAACTTGAACTCTGAGCTGACGCATCCTGAATAGAATCTCGAAGAAAAAGAGAGGCAGCTCACCGAACTGGAGAAGCTGGTCGTGCCTAAGGAAAGAGCACGTAAGTACAGTAGTCTTTTCCCGTTACTTTCAGCGCCCTTCACCATCGCCTAGCGAGTGTCGTCACAAGTAGCTAACCGTAAACGCCATTACAGAATGTGGAAGCTTCCAAGCTCGTGACAGAGGATGGGCAGGCGGCGATTCATACACGCGTATCACAGAAGTATTTTCGCAGAAATACGCCAACCCGCCGAGACTCCTGTTCGGCCTGAGCACCATGGACGCCGAAGCCAACAGGAACCGCTGCATGGGAGTGGAATTCCCAATGATACAGAACGACAGCTTCAGTGTCCAAACCACAGCGTTCAACGGCACTTACGGGTACGCTGTCGGATGCAACTGGATGACGCTTCCTAATGACCTTCACCTCGAGACCGGCATGATTGACACCTGGAACACAAAGGAAGGTAACAGCGAGAAGATCCGCCGAGAGGTCTTCTTCAGCCAAGCCTTCAAGTCACCACCTATCGTCTGTGTCTGGATCCAACTATTCGAGTGGACCGGCGACAACTTCATGTCCATCAAGTGCAGCGCGACGGACGTCACCGCTAATTCTTTCGCATGCCAGGTCGAATCCTGGGCTGGCAGACGAATCGGTAACATCAGAGTCCAGTACTTGGCATACCCATCAGAGGAGAACGGAAAGCGCGTCAAGTCCGGTACCACGACCGTCACCCGTGCCCAGGGCAAAGTGGACCTCGATTTCCCTTTCTATGGCGAGCCTTTCAAGACCGAGCCGGCGTCGTTTATTGCCATCTGCGAAACCGACTTCAACCGTCTTCGGAACACGCGATTCACTACCAGTGCGGTCGCGACCAAGAACGGCCTGAAATGGAGCGCTGGTACCTGGGCTGATACTGACATGGACCATGCCTCCGTCCAGTGGATCGCGATTGAATAAGGAGCTGAGTGTATGGGGTAGTCTGGGCAGTTTGAACAAGCTTGAGGATTTTGTAGTATGAGTTAGGTACTTTAATTGTTAAATACGCGGTGCTGTCTTTACTGCCGTTAGTTTTGCTAATCCATTACCATTCACTTGCTGACGTCGCTTATCTCTTATCCACTAAAAAGTTGGCCGATCTCAAATTCGCACCATGACCCCGCATTGACACCCTCTCCCCTCCATCAGATTTCCAAACCCCCACCAAATTATTCATTCCCATCAACTTTGCAAAAGACTTCATATCCTCCCTGTCGCCATGGCCTCCGAACTCGCGGCCCCTCCCGTGTTATCGACACCAGACGATCACATCCTCGAAGTTCCTGCTGCTGACTCCATCCCGACCTCGACACTCTCCGACGATGCCCTCCGCACAACGTACGAGGTCGTGCGTACAGCCGACGAGATCCGCGCTGGAGGATGGAAACGAATTGGGTTACAGTTCCCGGACTTCATGCTCGTTGATGCTCCCCGTGTTGTAGAAGCCTTGTCCAAGGAATTCGCTGCGCATGATGGCCAAGAAGAGGGCAAACCGGAGAGGAGGATATATGTCCTTGCCGATAGCAGCTACAGCGCCTGCTGTGTCGACGAAATCGCTGCCGAGCACGTCTCAGCAGATGTTGTAGTCCATTATGGCCGAACCTGTCTGAGTCCCACCAGTCACCTTCCTGCGATATACGTATATACAAGCCACGACCTGGATTACGAGGTGACGATCAACGAGATCAAGAAGGAGTTCAGCGACAAGACTGTCAAGCTGGTCATCATGGCCGACCTGACATACCAGAACCATGTCGATAAAGTAGTATCGTTACTGAAGGAACAAGGTTATGACAACACATTCTCTACTGCGGTAGCCCGCGACCCTGCCGCTTTGATTCCCAACCGCAAGATCCTCTCCGACGAGGCCTATGACGACGAGCACTGGAAGGCCTACTCGATCATTCACATCTCGGACCCGCCCTCAGCGCTTCTACTCGCTCTCTACACACGCTTTGCCTCGCTGCATGTCCTTTCCACACCCTCCTCTCCGGCCCTCGAAAACTCTACGATGCGAACGGCAGGTCTTCTGCGCCGGCGCTTCGCCAAAGTGTTGTCACTCGCTTCCGCTGGTGTCATTGGTATTCTTGTCAACACGCTCTCGGTCGCGAATTACTTGAGTTCCGTCAATACTCTCCGTGAGAAGATCGCTCGCGCAGACAAGAAGAGCTACACGATTGTCGTGGGCAAGCTAAACCCTGCCAAACTCGCGAACTTTGCTGAAATCGAGGGTTGGGTTGTCGTGGGATGCTGGGAGAGCGGTCTAATCGAGGACGATGCTGGGTATTGGAGGCCAGTAATCACACCATTCGAGCTTGAGGTCGCCCTGATGAGCGAGGACGAGCGAGTTTGGGGCAGCGAGTGGTGGGGAGGCATCGAGAAACTGGGACTCAATGACAAGCCTGAAGATGTGACAGGGGAAGCGGTAGAAGCTGCTGCAGACCCAGAGGAAGAATTCGATGATGTCGCTGGCGGTGTTGAAGGAGATGAATCTGCGCCCCCCGAGTTCGATATGCGCACCGGAAAGCTGATCTCTTCAAGTCGACCGATGCGACTCCCGGTTCGCAAGAATCCTTCCGCGACAGCCGCTGTCGAGTCGAACGGCGACGGTCAACCCAGTTCATCGCAGCAGAATGATTCTCTTATCAAGCGCAGTGTCGGCGAACTGGCAAGCATCAACGGTGTGGCAAGTCCAGGAGCTGAGTTCCTTCGTTCCGGTCGAACATGGCAAGGTCTGGGTACCGACTTTGATAACGAGGCCAGCACATTGGTCGAAGAGGGCAGGAGTGGTGTCGCAAGGGGATATCAAGTTGGCGAATCAGGTCGACACTGATGGGGATTTATATACAAAAGTGATACCATTTTAGCACCATACGGCGTTGGGATATAGACAAAACATAGGCGAATATTGATGGTTCAAGTTACATTTATTGAGGTACCTAGTATATGGTTCTTATTCATTGACTCGTGTAAAAGTATAGTCGTATTATGTACAATAGAATCATCAACCGGAGCAGCCTCCAGGGCATGAGCTGCGGTAAAACCATTATCTGACTCGGAGCGCTCCCTCACCTTTAGCTTCCCTTGTCCTCCTCGAAAGCATACAAGACAAAGATACGTCGTCAACATTGTATCATGTTGGTCACAAATCTGTATAAATCCTTGCACAAAATGGGAAATATGTTCTAGGAGATTTCATAATGCATTAAGTCGCCTTGTTTGTGACAGTCATCACTGGCCCTTGACAGCTTGTCCAGTGGTCCTCGAGGTGGTGGAAAAGACGGGGATCCCTGGCACGAGACATGATGCGTTGTGATCAGGCACCTATTCAGGGGTATGGGACAAACTGTAGAGCTTGTGAAGCTACCATCTGGCGGTGGTTGGGCTGGGGTATTGTGGTACTCGGGCATGTATGTAAGTGGAGAGCAGAATGCGGCCGAAAAGGCGGTATCCTCCATCCGTGTTGTTGTTTCTGGTCCGTGCTTGCAGCCGAGTCAAGCCAAGCGCAATAGTCTTGATGCCGTTTAAACATAGACACGGCGAGAGTGAGGACGGCTACGGCTGCTGTGACGAGAGCCAGAGCGAGAGTGGCTTCGGTGGCTGTGACGGCTGGAGTGATAGGATCGGCGAGAAGAGTGGTGACGGTCGTAGGCGCTCATGTGTCCACCGTGCAAGAAAGCGACAACAGAGGTGATGGCAAAGAAGATAATGTTCATGATACCAAACGCCCAGCAGGCCTTGAGCATAGTGCATGGCTTGTTGTTGACGAGATCGTAGCTAGGGCCAATGACACGAACACTGCCAGCAGAGACATCCCAGTCGTCGGAGCGGCGAATGCTAACGCAGTCGGTGTTTCGGACGTAGCGCAGGTAGTAGACGGCAGCGATGAAGGCGCCGAAGAAGAGGGCGTCAACGAATGCGACAAAGTGAGCGTTGGTCGAGGAGCGGTGGTAGCTGAAGAGAGTGAAGATTGCCCAGGCGAGAGCGAGAACGGAAACGATGAAGAGGATGAGGATAGAGTCGGGAGTCAAGGCGTTTTGCTTGACGAAGCCATCGACGAACCAGGCGAGCATGCCCATACACGGGATCTACAATTGCTTGTTAGTTTGGTGGTGGTGATATTCAGTAGATGCTGTTTTACTTACCAGAGTGACGATCTGAAGGACCCGGAAGAAGACGAAGAACATTGCGAAAAGCATCTTTGCGATTTGAAGCTTTGCAGCTCTGACTCGGGAATTGGATTGAAGTCGCACAAAAATCGGAGTAAGCACCGTTGATGACGTGCGCGGTGACTTTAACTTTGACTTATACGAACGAAGCTTGAAGCTGGTAGTAGGTATAAGCAACGCTGTTGTAGTCGATGAATGACTAAATGAGTGGTCGCTTGATGAAGAGATCAAGAAGTGAGCGAGAGAAAGAGGAGAAGGAAGAAGCTCGGGGTGTGTGGGAAGAAAGACGTGGTTTTGTAGCAATTCAAGTTGTTCAAAAGACTTGATTTGAGTCTTGAACTACTGCAATAGAATCTCTTTTGATTTGAGGTGGTTGGTGCATGGAAATAGATGGCGCAGGAGCCACGAGGAGGTGGGATGACCCCTGTAAAACGACCTACAACCCCTGTTGCTTCACTGAGTTAATTTAGTGGTTGGGCTCTGCCTCTGTTAGGCGCCGTAAGAAGAAAGGTTTCTAAAGTCTTGGGCTCGTATCACCAACTCAATGGAGATTAAGTCTATGCGTTGTGTCGGTCCAAGTCAGAGCATCATCTCTATTACTTCCCCAGATTTAAAACTTTCTTTCCTCTTCAACGGTCTTCCTGGTCGGTGATGCCGAAATTATGATCATGACGTCGACCTGCACTAGCAATGCAAGCACTCAACAGCCAAATCATCAATTGAATGCATACAGAGATTGAGTCAATTGAGTCACAAATCAAGGCACCCTTTTTTGTCGTTATTTAGCCAAGACTGACTGACCCAAATCTAGACCCTTATGGTTGCGACGTCATCAAAAATTCAAGAGGCTGGTCAGCAACTAAACCAAACTCCCTCACGGACCCCCAAAAGGGTAAAAGCTGGCACAAAAACAAGCTGGCTGGGAATAAAATAAAAAAAGAGAAACGAATATTGCATCCAAAACGAGAAAGATCCGTTAAATGATTCACTCAAGACCCTTGAACCGGTAAACCCCCCTGGCTAGAGTGTGAAAATCCATAACAGCTTCTTACTGTATCATCGGTGGCTGGTGAAGATGAACCTGCATCTGCAAGCCCCAAGGTTCAGATTCAGATTCACTCAGGAACATGATCCAAACCTGCATAAGGCGGTGGACCGGATTGAACCGTCCCGTATGTTTCAGATAATAAAACTTTCGCTTTCGGCAGATCCGCATCGCAGCAGCACATCAATGGAGTACTTTTAACGGGGATATCCATTCCCTTTTTAATCAGTGGCTGGGGATCAAGACAAAGATCACCAGGTACCATCTTATGTTGCAGAATTAGTTTGCGCTAAGGTCTATCTAGTCTATTCGCCGCATAAAATTAATTAAGTATACAGGTAGTCCGTCACTACAGGACTCTCACTATCTCGGCCTCTCCGTATTCTGGTTCTCTCTCTCAGCGCTGGACTGAACCCCGGACCCGTGTCCATGTCCATGTCCGTGCCGTTGGACCCACCAATCTCCGTGCTCCGGCCTCCGACCGCTCCGTCCGTGTTCAGCTGAATAGGAAGATCCAAGTCAGTCATGAGACTCAGGTCAACATCATCATCGTATTCATAGCTCCCTTCTTTTTGTTTTCTCTCTTCAGTCCAGCAATACGATCTTTGGTGCGCTCCATCTCCTATGTTCTCGCTTGCCCCGCGCTTCCATGGTGGTATCTTTGCTCCCTCGAGCCTTGGACTCAAGTGATAGTCGACCTTGTCACTGTATTGCACCCTCTCGTCGTCTACAAATACAGAAGCTAGTGATTGCAGGATGCTGTAGATGAGAATCCATCGACTCCGTCGTGCCGTGGCGGGGTTCATGTCGCCAATATCATCCGTCTTCTCAAAGCGCTCAAATGCCTGGACAAGCTTATTGGGACCAGATCGGGCATCCATCTCGTTTGCGTTGTAGCTCTCCGCATAGGCAAGCCTTATCCTCCTCTCAAGCGTGTCCATGTAATCAGCCCGTTTCTTCTGGTCGTTTCTTCGAGATGAACCTCTTGATCCAGGCAATAGAGGATATGGGTGGGGGATATGAGGGAAGCGATACTTCTTATCAAACTCGATGAGCATATCTGTCATGGGCATGCATTCTATGTCTGGTTTGATAGCGCTGTTGATCGTCTTGGACGCTAATGTGAGTATACTCCGTGACTGCATTTCCAAGACACCCCAGACAATGTCGCGATCCACAAGACAATCATACAGCGCGCCAAAGTCTCTTTGCAACTTCATCGCCAATGTCCGAGTCAACCATCTGTCTGGTTCAGCGACATCACTTGGCCGACCCGATCGACTGTCTGATTTTGTTGGTGGCGAGGGAGGCCAAGATCCATACTCGTGCTCAAAGTGCTGCAGAAACATATCCTGCAGTCTAACAATCGCCCTCATCTCTGAGACAGTGTCCGGGGTGAACATGTAGATATCCTGGTATCTGAAGCCGGCAAGACGGTCTTCGGCTGCCTGAACGCGACCAAACATCTCCTTACTGGCCGTCTCCATCAACTGCCTCGTGTTTGGAGAGACACGCTTGAAGTCCTTGTATTTCTGTACAAGATCATGCATGCCCACGCAATGCGTGAAACATCCTCTCCACCCTTCTTCCCACTTGACGTCCGGTTCCTCCGCCCACATCAACAGCGACAATGCAACTGAAGGGTTGTTTCGTACATCGTCGAGGTCTCGGTTGTAGATGTAGCGCACTATCTGGCTGACATTGTCATTGTTTGGGGGCATGTAGCTATCGAGTCGCATGTGAAGATCTGATAGAGCCTCGTGCAGCGACATGCCTACTATCGAGGCGTTGAGTAGTAGCGCAAAGAAGTTGCGAGTTGTTATCTGATGGCGCAGCTGATCGATGCTCTTGACGTTCTGTGGTGGCGGGAAATGCATCCTATACAATATTTGTCCTCCCATATCTCCAACGCTGGTACGTTGAGAAGCAGGAGGTGTAAGTGGCCCATCTCTAAGCTCATGTCCCAAGTTTCCTCCGTAACTCTCACTCGTAGGAGATCGGGGTGAATCCTCTTGTCCCTCAAGTGAACCTTCGTTGAGAAGCGAGAGGAGATATCGGCTGTTGGTTGCTTCGATGACAAAAGATGATATACGCATCGTAGGCAAGTTCTGTCCTTTGCGTCCAAGATAAATGAGAACATCTCCATTTGGATCCCATAATTCCGGATCTTTCCTAAGCTTATTCCACTTGGTTATGGGCTTCCGTCCGCCACACCAACGTTTTATCTGCGGTGCCGACGCAGGAGGAGTTGGAGGTATCGGTGGTAACTTGCCGGTTGGAGGTGGCCCTGCGAGTGGTATATTGCACGAGATTTGTGACCGTGGCGATGGTGAAAGAAGATACTGAGAAGGCGTTGACGAAGATACAGACGCCAGACGTGATTCTGTTCGCGATGTAGATTGTATGTCCCAACCACGGCTCTCGGTTGGACTGGGTCCAGGACTAGGAATGATTCTGGGTTGTAAAGTATCGGCACTTGGTCGACTTGATTCATCGTCTTGGTCCAGTGGTTCCTCCTCCTTTTCCTTCTTGCGAAAGGTAAAGGTCTTTGCTATAGTTTTGCGTACATCATCGCTTCGCTTGTCAATTATTGATCGTAGTCCACTCTTCTCGATGGTGCTGTATTCCTCTGGCATCGTTGCTCTCCTTGTCCTCCCATGAACCCAATCCTCTGTCGGTGAAGCAAGCTGGTTACTCAGATATGCGTCTCTATTCCAATCTGGTGCTGTCATTGGTTTGCTTCTGCTTGCGATTGACATGGCATATTGTGGCATTGGTGGTTGATAGCGAGGAGACATGAGGGGACCACCTGGTGGCATAGAATTGTCGACATAAATGCTATCACCACTTGAAGACGTGGCTATAGATTGAGCTCTTCCATGTTTTACTGGGTCCTTGCCCTTTGCCTGTGTTGTTTTCTTGCGCGCATATGCGCTTCGTGCTGACATGGCGTATATGATCGATGTGGCTGTAAGTGGATATCTCGCGTATTGTGACGGCGGCGGAAGGCAAGGTTATAAGTAAGTTATATGAAGTCTTCTTGCGATGAATCGAGTGACATTCAGATGAAAACTGATTTGTATTAAAAGACAAGTCAATTCCAGACTTGATGGTGTGTAGAGTCGCAAGAGGGCTGCCTCGTGGCAAGCACAGCACAGTATACAGATGTAAAGACGACAAGGAGGCTTATACTAAGGAATAGGGATCTGTATAAGAACGGTCAATCACCAGGGATTATTTCCTACCATCCGGAAAAGAAGTGACTCGACGCCTTTGAACCCCCCTCGCCGAGCCTGGACTACCAGGCTTTCTTACAAGGGGACGGCCGCAGAGCCGCGGTATCACACAGAGAACTCACTGATAACGCCCGCAAGACCTTGAAGTTTCGCTGGGCCAGGACTGATGTGCTTTTTAGCGTAAAGCCAATTCAACGGGAGCTTTTCCCGTCTTAGACCCAAGGATCCGGAGCCGGAATGATGAGAGGCGAAACGTCCAAGCGATAGTTCAATAATCACAAGCTCTTGTAAGTTTTTAGTGATGGAAGTTGATGAATCTGAGACACCTCGAAGGTCTGGAGTCATCTCTCTCTCATATTATAAACACCAGGTTATTACCAGTAAGCGCTACGAAACACAACGATTCATGCGTCCATGATCTATCATTTAAAAAGCATTTCCGAATGCTTCGTTCTTCTATCCATTCATCACATCTCACAGTCTTCTTGGCAGCAGGTCATCATTCGCGAGGCCTGAGCAACTGATAAGCATCCATGCCAGCTAATGATAATCCCAGCAGCTGAACTGGCCATATCGCTGATAAGAATAATAGCACCCAAGATAAACACAACGCCGTAAGCTCACTCGTCCAGACCTGTCAAGGAGCTTCTCTGTTTGGTTTAATTCTACTTGCTTATAAAAGGAAAGTAACATCGCTTGAGCGGCGGGACGGGGAAAGTGGTGAGAGAGGCGATCATTTTTCTTTGCTTTTTAACATGCCGCCAGAGAGATAAGCCAGTTAAAGGTCCAGATATCGGCGCTCGGATCTTTAACCAGTGATTATTGAATAAATAATGTTTGTAATGGAAGCGACAAAGAGATGCACCAGGGTCCAATAGTCTCAAATCACCCCATTCCCCCGCGTTAACAAGGTCCTGGTTCTTCAACATTGCATTTGGGGTAGTGCCTCTTCCAGCATCTGATAAGGACAGGATGAAGATTTTACGATTATTTCAATCTTACTGCTCTTTTATAAAGAGCTTCGGATGAAGCTAATCTCAACCGCGGTAGTGTTCTTCACCAGCACATGGATCAGGGGAATTAACATGGGAATAGTGCATGATGAATAGACTACCCTAAACATATCTTCATGAATCTCGATTCAAGATGAATGAATGAACTCATGGGTTGCAAACGACAATTGTTTATATAAACGTTTATTCTACAGACTTTGTAATGGCACTGAGTCTGTTGACTCTTTAGACGCATTGTTGGCTTCTTTTTCAATGAGCTCATTCCCGAAGAGTTACCATACAGCAGCTTAACTTGATGGCTAAGAGCACCGGACATTAACCAGAATGACGTGAAGCCAAGAGCTAGTGGCTTGCTTTCCATGACGGCGTGCAACACATAAGAGAGCTCTAGTATAAGGCTGTAAGCCACCACATGCACCAGTTTTTAAAGTTGAGGTTGCATATTGTACGCTATAATTGGCTAACACAAGCTTAATGGTGATGAGATGAAAATTCATGTCACATTATAAACGTATGATGCAACAGACTTGAAAACTTCATTCAATTTATTTTTACCAGAATCGCTAATACAGCATTACTGCACCGTATAATACAGAAAGTAGACCTATAGTGGGCACTTCTGACAAGTTTGTCAGATCCAGAAGGGTATCTTGCGGCCGTTTCCATACGCATAAGAGAACATGGGATATAGCCAATCAATAAACAAAACTCCGCCACCATTCCTTATACTCTTATTCTTCAGCTTCACCTCAGGTCGACATTACATCATTACTTCTCCCACGATCAAACTTAGGCACCGTAGTTTTGGCCGGGCTTGGTGTCAGCATGGGCGGTGTGTCCACGGCCTCGCATGAAAGCCAAGGCCTCCATGATGGTCAAGCCAGTAAAGATTGCCCAGATGAAGTAACCAAATGCGACGGCAGCCTGAGTAGCCCGACAATAGGTGATGACGCAATGAGGGACACCGATATGGGCAGCGACAGCGGTGGCACCGGCGAACCAGAAGAGCGAGGTGAGGGCGAGAATACCGAGAGCGACCATATTGTGGTAGATGCGAGGAGCAAAGAGAGGCGCGATGGCGAGGTATAGCAGCATGAGGATGGACCAAACGGTACAGAAGAGTAGAAAAGCGTAAGAAGAAGGAGAGTGACCATGCCAATCAACAACTGTTGAGCTGTTAGTATAGTGTCATCAAGATGCTATACGCAGAATGCTTCAGGACTTACTGTAAGCTGTGAGACCCAGCTCAATAATGAGGAATAGAGCCAGAACGGCGTGGACGATGGTGATGATTCCCATAGCCATGATGATTGTGTTGCTATTCGATTTGATTACAGTAGGTATCGATTTATGTAGAGGAGGCTTCCGAGGAAATCCAGTTGGTTAGGTGAGGAAAAGAAAAGAGATCTGGGTAGTTCACGGAAAGCAAGAAGGGTCCAGCAGGGGGGATATAGGTAGGTATTAAATCACGGCACTGTCGGAAGATGATGACAGTGACATTTTAGTCTGTTTCTTTTCTTGTCAAGAGACAATGATGAACAGCGTCAGTCATGTGGCTCAGCGCATCAGGAAACTACGGAGAATAATCGAGGCCCTACAGCATTAGCAGCTAATCAACATGAATCTGGTGGGCTACGTCAGTTTACTCGGCAGTCACCTAAACTAAGAACAAGCCAAGAACGAAGCTTTCCCCAAGCGAGACAAAAGGCATTATCCAAAGCCAATCATGGAGAAACAGCTGCGTAGTGGATGTCTCAAGATCTGCGCTGACGACGACCTTGAGTGGCTGATGGGTTTCCTGCTTTCAGCGTTAAAGTCCAAGCATTTACAGTGGAAGTTGCGGGCGGTTACACAGATGACGTGGTTAAGACCCAAAACATCTGATGTTTGATGGAAGGGTGATGTCATCTGTGGCTGATATAGCACAGCCACTACCACGACCCGAATACGAACATCCAACATTCCTTCCTTTCTCGACTCTACCCGAAGAAGCCGTCTGTCTTCTGGGCAGACAATTAGAAGCATCATCAATATTTCAACTCTTATTGTCAGTTTGTGACGCGATGACTAGACTCCAGTCTCTAGTCTCCCACCCCGACTCTTGCTCGTCCCATCGGCCCCATCCGGATCACTACCGATCATTGCGATCACTGCAATCACTGCCGGTATCCCTCTGATCTACGCTACCATGTTTCGCCCTTGGCTGATGCCATGCCTAGGCTTAGCTATCCAAAACCTTGGCTCGGCAGCTGAAACCCGGATCTCAAGACAAACAATTATTCATTGTCTGGTGAATTGATTACTGAGACTCGAACAATCAATGTCTTGACCACCAACCGTCTGAGCAACCATTACGCAAACCCTTCCTTGGCCTACTCCAGCGCTTGACTTGGAGGCCTTACACTTGGAGCTTCAGACTCCGATGCCCAGACATGTTTCAAGCTTGGCGGCTCCGTTTCAAATCGTCTTTCTGACGTGCGAATCATTGGCCCAGCATCATCCTCATTTGTCGATCATGTCAAAGAGGTACAACACAGACGACCACACACAAAATCATTCAAAATCGTTAATTGATAAGTCAGTTGTCTATCGCAAATATGCTAACCCTCCCAATCAGGCCATATCCTCAACTTCAACCCTCTTTGGTAGTGGAGGCATGTAGCTTTCTCGGGGTCCATATACCACTGTCACGGTTGTCGTCTGTACAATCGCCCGCTCCTCATCATCCGAGCTATCCTTGCGCGGATCCCATACTTGCGTCTTCACTGTCGGACTGCCAAACTTATTTATCGACTCTTGTCTCCGCAACTGCTTGATCACTTCGCCGCGCTCTTCGTCCGGTTCATGTACAGTGACTTCTGTCCTCACGGGTTGCGCCTGCACGATGGTCTTGAGGTCGAATCCGGGATCTCCAGGCGTATCGGCTCTCCCTTTTCTCGACTTCTTTCCCATGCTTCCTATTGTTTGAAATGGGTGCCCCCGGGTACCTTTGTTGCTGCTTCCGTTTCCGGCCGATGAGCCTCGTTCGCCAATAAATCTTGGTGCGACGTGTTTGAAGAAGCGTCGAAGAGTCGTCAACGATGCGCAGATGATCATGAGGTTTGATTCGATGAAACTGTTCCTGGAGTCAGTTATTGCTTTCACAAGAGTCAAGGGCCAAGTGCACTTACATCCAGACAATGGCGCCGGAAAGAACCCAACTGACATCGTTGGTGCCAAAGATGGGAAGCAGTAGTACTAGTCGTACTACAGAAGTCACCAGTGTTCTATGACAAGTTGTCAGCACGTATTCGGACACTCTCATTCTTTCATTACTTACGCAGAACCGATAACAAATAGCACAACGAGTCCAGCCTTTTGCCTTCGCGGCATCTGCAAGCGCAGAATCATCGGCAAGGGCATCAGCAAGAGGATTAGGTCTGACAAGATGCCAAGACCTGCGGTGCAGACATACACCATTGGTCGATCCACGCATGACCCCTCGAGCATCGTGAGGTCCCAGCTCTTCTTGAAAGGGACGCAGCCGAAAATAATAACAAGCATAATGGCCAGGTTGTAACCTGCAACAAGAAAGAGAACACCGTATACGCTCCACCGCCACCACCTCTGGGGTGAAAGCTTTCGGTAAAATAGCGCCAGCGTCATCTTGGAGAAGGCGGTGCACACGGCATAGAGAATCGGGGAGATGAAGGTGAGCTGAAGCATGTTTGTTAGCCAAGTCCAGCGAAGAAGACTGAGTCTCATTTACCTGATTTCCAGTGTTGAGCTTGTCAAGAGAGACTTCCCATGCATGTACGCCTGTTATACCAAGAACAAATGTTCCTGCCGCTGGTCAGATCAAATTTCGAAGTCGAATAACTGATAACAACTTACGGAGTGATACTATTTGCACGCCGATGGAGAAAACCCACGCAACTAATAGGCACACTGCTTTGTCTCAGCACTACACGACTTATAGAAAGTGATGAGTTCCTTACCGGTCTCGCCGTCTGGTTTGCGCAGAACCCATAATTTGACATATAGGTATTGGAGAACGAAAAGGAACGCAAGGAAAATGCCCACACCCGAAGCCGTGTACGCTTCCATCTCGTGACGTCTTTGCGGATGTTCGAAGTTAACCACATAACCATCTGGAGGCGGGATAGCCACTGGGACACCGTTGATGATAGGAAAGGGGGACATAGCGGCCCCGGTAGCCAGCGGGGCAGCGACGGGCATCTCGTTCTAATGTCGAAGAAATGATGATCGTTTATGGCGTTATATCGAAAGGAGTGAATAAGAAATATGCGCATGTAAGTCTATACCGCTGGTATGATTCGTTTTGACTGGTAAAAGAGTGTCGAGAAAGTAGATGATGTTGATAATTGAATATTATAGGCTCATTGTGTGCCTCGATCCCAGATCGGATTATACGAAAATTTAAGAATAAAGAATAGTATCACAATAATTGTCGACCAGGCGCAACCAATACGCTAAAGAACAAAGAACAAAAGAATTGAAGATAAAAGAAAGATCAGCCAGATGGACGAATAATACCAAAGAAAAGGCGGCATAATGAAGACGCAACATGCGACATTCTACCCTCTTTATCAACAATGCTAAACCAGCACAATCCATATAACGGCCCGACCAGTCTTTCGAAACAATGGCTTCCGTTCGGCCAAACCGTTTCTATTCGCTCCATTGAAGTCTTCGGACATTTGGACAGAACAGGCCATTCAGTGATCTGTGGATCGCTGAAGAAGTTAAGCGCGTTGGATTCTGGAAACAAGCTCAGCGTGAGAATAGAACAACTGGGGCAACTAGGCGAAATCATGGAAACAAGAAAGATCCACTAAACAACGATCAACGGTTGGGATCGTGGCAGGCAAGTTTAATGAAGACTCGAAAGTCGAGTCAGGGACATGCAGTACGTGTTCTTTAGTATTAGTCAAGCGAGTTTGAGATTTAATGTTTACTAGAAATACTGCGATACAAGATTCTCTTCAAAGATAAAGAAGCAATATACACATACGATCTTAATCCATTGACAGTTCAGCTTGTTTCATACAGACAGATACGAATACAACATCGGACGATTAGAAGGATGTTCAACTTGGCAAACTAACAACTAGCGCAGGGATGAAGCCAGCAGGGCTGAAGAACTCTGCGGGGACGATCCTCAATTTACTGTAACAAAGGCCTAACCAGTGTTGTTTCAGCTAGAGTATCCTCTCTCATGCGAATCTAGCTCGCCCTGTCGAGACCTCCGAGAGTTGCGATTGTTCCGGGAGGTCATCCAGCTCAACCGCCATGGAGTAACTGGGTATTCGCTTTTGATGCGATTGGTAGATCATAGCGGGTAATTAAAGAGAAGAAATCTCATCCCTTAAAGATTTGTTTAAGGCTCTCGTCATAAGATGGTGCGTGCTCGCCTCTTGACTCTTATCCTTATCGATCATCCTCCGTGGGGATTCGGAAGTGCTAGTATCTTCAAGATGAGCTATTTCCGGGAGACAGTCACTCGTTGTTTCGAGTTCTCGGCGTCTCTGACCTCTTTCTCGCAAGCTCATCTCAATGAAGTCATTCGCACAATGCGTCCCTGAGACACTCGATCCTCCGCGGCTCCGCGAAACTTCGACCAATTTCCCTAGAACCGCGAATTCGAGCTTCAGTTTGATAGAGTAGATGACGAGCTTAACGCCCTGTTCAATGGTGTAGTAGCCGCGGTACACAATAACCAGAAGCGCGATATCCATGATTACGATGAGCAAGTTGATGAACAAAAGCTGCCACATAATCTTGCGCTTGTTGCCGAGTGAGGTTTGAAGGATGTCGATGGCGCCCCAGAGATATAGGCCAGAGATTACAAACTCTTGCGCGCAGAAGAATGTCATCTGCGTTTTCTCAATGGCGACAAATAGGCGTGGTGGATTATCTCCGTCGACGTTGGGTCCAATTGTGAACAGCATAACAGTCTGGGTCGTATGCCATACTATCCCATTAACCACGATCATCCACCATACAGCACGCTGTATCCGCGCATCGTTCAATATCAAGTGCAGCCGCGAGTACAGAACCACAGATTGCCCACTTATTAGCACGATCCAGCCAAGAGAGGCGAGGGCCTTGCTCACGTAGCCGTCGACGATGTGGAGGTAGCCAAGGAGCCACCCGAAAGCATAGGGCAACAAGCCCAAAGTGGTGACGAGAAGGCTCCAAAAATAAAGGCCATGGCGATGCTTGAACGTGGTGAAGATGAGCGCAATAAGCTCACATGCATTGTACAGGGCTAGGGTAGACGTCGTCTAACGATGGTCAGTACTCGGTGCGTCAGGTAGGAGTATGTACATGAAACAACCCACAATGACTAAAACTGCCTTTGGGCTATACGTAAGCTCCGTATAGCCGGAGTTCGAGGCAGGCAGAGGCATGCTTTGCCTATACGTCGATCATGAAGCCGCATGAATAGAGTTGAAGGCGATAGACCAAATCTGCATGTTTACATGTCTACGTTGCCGAGGATTATGAGGCTCTTTAGTAGATCTGGGGTAAACCAAAGAATCCGGGGAAAGAGAGTTATTATTCATTGGAGCGGCGAATGGCGGCTGAGGCAATGTACATGAAGCTGTGGCCTGATTAAGCAACGACCCAAGTCCAAGAGGGTCAATTTACACGATACCCAAAGTCAGTTGACAACGGGAGCCAATCAACTTCTTTCTTAATAGTAAAGATGGTGTTGAATGACCGGCTTTCAAGTAGTGTAGCGTGTCATTGGTAGGAGAGACCTACCCAGATGGTCTAGTGTCGTTGAGAATTGCTACTTTGAGCGATATTCCAATTGAGAAATATCTACCATCAACTCGTTGGAACTGGAGTTAGCAGGCTCTCCAACAATATGGGAATATTAAGTGCTGAGCAACTGTATTGATGCGCGACCGTTTCAACGGCCATGCGACATGCCGTTGACCGTTTCTCAACTCTAAATTTCAACGTCACAGCTGCAAGTTCATTAGACACAGTGAAAGCTTAACATCAAACGCTTTTTAATAAAGTCTACCACCTTCTACCATCATTCATCCCCCTGACTTCTACAGTCCAATACCGAAGCAGTTGGCATAGTATGTAACTGTAGCGCTCCAATCAGAGAAAACGCCAACAACGCCAATCTCACGGAACACATCCAACAGCTTGAAAACATCACCGTCGTTGTTCACGATCTTAGCAATGGTAGAGTAGTAGTAGTCGCCGTTGGCAGCAGCCTGCTTCAGAGGAGGAGATCGCTCCAGACTCCAGGTGACGATCTTGAGACCCAACTCCTTGGCCTTCTTCGCGTACGGGCTGGGTACAATTTTGCCTCCCTTTCCGGGCTGGACGAGGTAAGGCAGAGGAGGGGCAATGTACTTCACTCCATCCTTAGCATAACGAGTGAGGTTGGCAACAGCAGCTGGGAAGGTCTCAGGTGAGTCGCCCGTCTCGTCGAGGTACATAGCCTGGCGAGCGTACTCTGGCTCAGCCTCGAGCCAGTACAGGATATCATCATACAGGAAGCTCTGGAGGTAGACGTCGCTTGCCTTAACACCAGCCTCCTTATGCTCGTCGATGAGCTGCTGAGCGTACTTCTCTTGAGTGTAGTCGCCATCAAAAGGCATCTTAACCTCGGGTGTCTTGAGCTCAGGAGTATGCTTCAGACCGAGTCGCTTGGTAAGCTGAATGTGCTCCTTGTTGGTCATGACAGTGCCGCAGGTAGAGTACAGATCAGTTCGCCAGCCGGGGGTGCCCTTGAGGAAGTCGGCAGCGTTGGTAGCTGTGGCATTGAAGCCCTCCATCTTGGCGCACAGAGTCTTGTACTCCTTAAGGGTGATGTCGCTGGTGCAGCACTTTGCGGATGCAGGCTTGCCATCCTTGGCAGCCTTGAAGGGCTGAGTGCACTTCTTGTTGAGCTCGGGGATCGTGACGATGTTGGTCGTGTAGTGAAGATCACACTGGGAGTGTCGGCACACCAGTTCGCGATCCTTGGTGAAAGCAACATCACACTCGAGGACTCCGGCACCCATTCGAGCTCCAGCGAGGTTGTTCTCGAGAGAGTGCTCAGGAAACTGGAGAGTAGCACCACCACGGTGAGCAATTGACCACAATGAAGGCTTCTGGGGCTTCTCTGAGCACGACTGGAGCTTCTTCTTCAGAGAACCCTCATCCATGTCATTGACAAGGTAGTAAGGTCGAGGACCGAGGTCAAGTTGCTTGACGGGCTTGACATTCTTGTACAATTCCTTATCGCCATGGCTAGGCTTGGGTGCAGCCGCGGCAGGGCTCACAGCCATTAGGCCAGCAACGAGGGGGGTCGAAAAGCGCATCGTGGGCAGACAAGTCAATCAATTGACACAGAAGAAATTGGTGCAAGAAGCGAGAGACACCGCAAGAATTGGCAAGGATTGAGGTCGCAATTGAGTCTGGGGCTGGATCAAGGACGAGAGACTTCACGATAACACTTGGGAACACAGCAGACTTTATGGAGGGAGGACTTCACAGAGATCCTCGACCCGATAAACCCTTCTGGGAAGCGCACCGAGATGACGTCGGGGATCCCCAGGAACAAGTTCATTCTCAGTAAGCATAGCTGCAATATGCAGTTGTTTGTTAGATGGCGGTGTTGTTTATCGGATTAGGCACCCCGAATTGAGGAATCACATCGTCGATCACAGCACTTGCAAGCCAGCTTCTGCATATGCACAGGGTTTCGGACGCCGGTGGATGGATCAATCCGTGCAAGCCAGCCATCTTGACAACCACGTGCAGAAGAGACGTGGGTGTTGTTGGAGGTGGAAGCTAAGGATATGGCTTGGCAGCGTTACACTCGAGGGTTTAGCTAGTTCGAACCGTGGTTAGCTTAGAGCTTATGATTTGTCGAAACCAAGTTTAATCGAACACTTGCCCAAATCCATACATGGGTAGCTCACTCGGGTCCTCGATCAACTCAGGAACTTTGGCAACTGTTGAAATCAACCGTTCAATTGAAAGACTGCATCTAACGCATGTGCTTACATGGATAATTCAGTGTGCCATAATAATTGCTCTGTAACCTGTCGATGTGGCGTTTGAAGCTCGTCCTTGGCTCTGTCACCTTCCCGAATCTTGCGAACTTCCTCGGCTGTCGCTAGATAGTGCTCAAAGTCGGGCGCATCTTCTCCAATGCCCCAAGCAAAAACACCTCCCAATTCCAGCTGTGGCACGATTCGTTCAAACTTGTTCTGGATACTCTTCTTCGTGTCGAACGACCACCATCGAAGCTCCTGCTCGTCCCAGTAATAGTGACTTCCATCGACATCATACTTGCCATCAGCTTGCGCACGACTGAATGATGCAGCGAGATCCATAGGAACATCATCGTGCCAGCTGAAGCCACCAGTTCCGCCCAAGTCGGCCCCGGTCTCTGGATCCTCATGGACTGGAACGGGACAGCCCATAGGCTTCGCTGGATCGCACTTCTTGGTCATGTACCACTTGACATAGTACCCGAGACCGAGGTTTACATGGCTGGGCGAAGCACCGCGGTCAATATATCGTTGAACAGCTTCCCGAGAATTGGTAATGCCGCTTTGGTGGACAGTAACATTGTCTCGGCGGTTCATCATCTCATAAGACATGATGTTCAGAAAGTCGACTTCCTTCATGATTCTAGGAACGGTTTCGGTCGTGAATGCAATCAAATCGGCCTCCTTACCCGGGACTGCCGTGGAGAGGATCTTCTCGGTGCCAAGAGCAGCACGTAACTCTTGGAGAAGCGAGACAAAGGCCTCGATCTCCCATTCACGTCCAGAATTGGGAATCTCCTTGTAATCATCCCGGTTTCCTCTATTGTCGGTCAGTAAGTCATCCGATATGTTTATTTGGGCTGCTTACCCTGGGTATTCCCAGTCGACGTCGATACCATCAGCCTCTGTCGTTGCCACCATAGCCGCAACTTGCCGGGCCCAACGCTTTCTCGATGATTCGGTCTTTGCAGCTTCTTCAAATCCTTGATTGTCTCCCCATCCCCCAATGGCTATCATGACCTTGGCGTGGTGAGGGACTCGGGCGCGGACATCTGAGACCGAGGTGAACATAGGGTAATCATCGGGCTTTTTATCAACGTTGAAGAATTCGGAGCGCATAAATGCTAAAACAACATGAGAAACATCTTGAAATTTCTCCTTGATCGGAACAACGTCGTGTTGACTAGAGAATCGGATTATGGTTAGTGATGATCAATCTCAAGATGAAGCAGCACATACCCCGTAAGATACATGATACTGCGAAATGGTTCCGCGGTAGACGTAGCAGTCACCATTGCCAAAAAGGCAAGAAGCCAAGCGATAGAAGTGTTCAAGAAACGCATTTCGGTTGTGTTTTATTCTTTGTGTGGTGTTGAAGATAAGATTTGAAGTTGACGGCTAAGTTAATAAAGAGCACGGTGATAAAGTTGCGATTCACTGGCACTACATTGGGTACTCCTGCACTGCATCTGCGGGTCAACAATTGGCAGGTACGGTATGGTCAACAACTGCAACAGCCCGCCCTTTCCTTCCAATCAAGACTGCAGAGCCAGAAATAGAGTATTTACAGAAGACTTCATGTCAAAATTGATTGTATACAAGACAGTTTGATATGTGCTTGATTGTCGTTTCTTTAAAAACCCAACCCCATTGCGCCGTCTTTATATCCGTCCTGTCTAGTAACAAAAGACGCCCCTTAATCCCAATATTAAGGTATAATCTACACTTTATAGCAGCTAGAACTGCAACAGACGCTATGCCTCCCAACCATCTAATCAAATAATCAAGTCCCATGGTATCGTGTTCGCTTCATGATCATCATCCAAGCCCGAATCAAATAAGCTCCCGGCTCTTAAGAATCCGACTGAGTTCCTTCAACTGAACTGGCTTAGAGAGAAACAGGTCCAGTCCGTTGGAAAATGCGTCTTCCTGTGCATCCTTTGAGGCGAGACCAGAGATAGCCACTACTTGCCTTCGTGGCAGACCTGACTCTTTCTCAAATAATCGAATTAGTCGTGTTGCCTCAAATCCATCCATCACCGGCATAGATATATCCATCAGAATGCATTTATAAATCCCTCTCTTGGCTTTGTATGACTCCACAGCTTTCTGCCCGTTCGATGCCGTGTCATACACTAACCCTAACTTCTTCATATATGTTTGAAGAATCTTCATATTAATGGCGTTATCCTCCACAAGAAGGAATCGGGCTTCTGGTGATGGAGGAGCCGGTCGTATAGCTGGCGCCGATGGCAATGGAGTCTGTGATTCATCGTCATCCGGCCTTGCCCTCTTCTTTTGAGGGGATAGTTTCGGAGCAATATCAAAGTAACCGGCGGTTCTATTACCATGTCCATCTTCAGATGAACTTGGCTCGACTGCTGGCACAGTAGGTGGCTCATCGAGTGCTGTCGAAACACTTGCGCGGTCGGCGGCTGTTGCTTGTAGCTTAGTCCATCGTCTGAAACAGAGCACAAAGGCTTTTGCAAGTTTCCTTGGTCCAACACTACAGCAATCGTTCGGTCAGTATCAACAAGGAAAGGGGATGATAGAGACTTACGGGCGAGATATGAAACTGAACAATCCCCAATTAAACCTACGATGCGACCTGTGGTATTGGTCAAGCTGTCGAGCAACTGCCGCAGTGCGGCACACCACCACCACTGGCGATGACAGCTCAGCTCGGGGCTGATTTGCCATTGACTCGAACTGAGACTCGTCGCAAAGAACCAGGTCTGGAAGAAAGGTCTCGTTACTTGTGTTGCCGACAACTTCCATTTGCAACCAATTGCGGCAAACTTTCTCTAGTGAGTTGTACTCGTCGAACTCTCCAGAACCCCAGCGTGGACCTTGCATGCTCCTCCGTGGAGGCGAGAATCCATCAATGGAGACGCGCAGGCGAGACAGTTCAATGACCTGGGATTTGAATTCATCGCGATCAGACGCCGTTTCGGTTGATTCAGGGCTGGCAGTTTGCAGAGGAAGCTTCACAGCGACACGGGTTCCAGTTCCCACTTTGCTTTGGACGTGTATGGAACCACCAAGAGCTCTCACAAACTTCCGCACAAGACTGAGCCCGAGTCCGGCGCCCGAAGAATGAACGTTTTCTTGAGAGAACGGGGAGAATATGCGATGGTTAAGGTAGTCCTGCCCAATGCCACTTCCCGTATCCATGATGTCAATATGAACAACTCTATCTCGTGGTCGTCCTTGGCTTGGGGGGTCTTGATAGGCAGCAACTTTGACGAAACCACTGGTGGTGTACTTGAGAGCGTTGCCGCAAAGGTTTAGTATTATTCGTCGAAAAGCTCCAGATTCAACATGGAATGCCCAGTCTACGGCCGGGTCAATATCCAAGATCACAAGCACCTTATCGGGACCAGCCATGGTGCTTGGCTTCTGGTTTCGTGTCTTGATGCTATCCGCCAAGTCCATACCATCTAGGCGGGCATAGGGGTCACCACTAAGCTCTTCTCCCGAGTTGCGATCGTCTAGCAACGAGACAGATTGTTGCTGATAAGTATGGCCAGCGTGTATACATTCCACAACTTCTTCCACCAGCATATCCACGTCGAGATTCGAGTTGATACGCATCATGCCATCTGTCGGCGAGCTTTTCTTATTCGATTGTGTTCCCCTCCTTGGTGACATGCCTAGGCTGAGTGGCTGCACGTTGGGTGCTTTTGCGAAGTTGTTGATCCTCGTCCAGTCGAGCAAATGGTTGATCGTGTCTAACAAAGTCCGCCCACAGACCTCGAGGGAGCGTAGCACATCACCTTGAAAAACATCAAGCGAGGTATCACGCAAAAGCTCTGCACATAGCACAATTCCATGCAGTGGAGAACGCAGTTCGTGAGATAGTGAGCTAAGCAAAGACGTGGTAGCCATTGACACAAACGCACTCTCCATCATTATAACATCGGCCATGATGACCGTATTAAACGCTGTGAGATAACTCAACTCCCCCTGAACTGTGAAAATACGAGTCGGTGTCATGGTGTAGACAAAGCACCCTGAAAACCAACGTTGGCGGTGCGAATCCCACAAAGGTACAAAAGCGACGCTTCGTGCCCCTGGAAAGAGGTCACGAATAGCCATACCCTCGTTTCGTCGTGAAAAGGGATCCCTTGCGCTTCGATTCTTGTTGTTCTCTCCAGGTCGGTCTGCTTGTAGATCTCGAGCTTTGTTAACCTGAAACGCAGCCATTACTGAATCTTCGCTGGTCGGGTCGCTCGAGGCCATCACTCCTTGGCTGTCAAAATTAAAGATCTTGCCCTTCGGATACCGTCGGAGGAGCCTTTGGAGCTGCCGTTCGGGGACGGCTTGACTGCGCCCTGTAGGTGCTTCGCCATTGATGCTCGATGACATAGAAGTCGAAAAGCCAAAGACAGAGCACATGTTGCCTTTTGAGTCGCCAGAACCTCTGGGCGAAGACACAGAAACATGGCCTCGGCTTGTGGATGAAGAAGACGAGGAAGATGACGAGCGTTCGTGAGTCCCATTTTCGCGTCGAACGGAGCCAGATCGAACCCTGCCAGCGAAGGTACCTATGCTTGCATCCAAGAAGACAACCCCTTCAACCTCTATCGACTCTCTGAGAACATTGGCAGCTTTGGAGAAAATATGTTTTAGTTGGCTTTGCCGCGATTCTTCTCCTGCGGCAATCGGATGAGGAGAATCTTCCATGTGATGAAAAGGGCTTGAGGCCCGGTTTTCCATCGGACTTTCGAGAACGAAAGTGTCTGGTGTTGCCATTTGTTCGGAACTCCCAATAGATGAAGCATGTTCATGTCGATTCTGCAAACTTTGTTGCGTTTGATTAAGAGCCCCTTCTTCTGTGCCAGCATCGGTGTCAAATGCGTGCGTGAAACTGGACCTCCAGCCAGACATCGTAGCCTTTCCCTCGACATAACTTCCCAATCCTCGTACCATACGCTCCCCAGGCCGTCGCCCGTCTCCAGATCGCGTCAGCTCCATTTGTCCCAGGATGGATGCTGAGATGTCTCGCATAATCCGGATAGATGCGTCATCGAATGAATCTCGTGGCTTGCGGTCCAGAATGCAAAATACACCAATGTTGATCCCTCGTGGGGTCTGAATGGGAACGCCTGCATAGAAACGGTGCTCTGGTCGTGACTGATAGTACCATGTATCTCGGAACTCCTCACTTGTAGCAAGGTCATTAATAACTTTGACGGGAAATTTTGAAGACGATGTGACTTGTGAAATATCGTCAGGCTCGGGAGGAGCCAGTACAGCATCACAAACACCAAAGCCCCGAGGTATTGAGGTTCCGCAAAGCCAAAGGCTGTCAGGTCCAGACACTGGAGGGTTAGCTTGAGCTGATATCGGCATTTCTGGGGTAGCCTCTGCAATAACATGCTGGTTCTGGCAGTCAAACAAGGAGATCATCGCACGGGAGGCGCCAAGCCTCAAGAGGGCGACCTGGGCCAAAGCTGTCATGGCAGGATCCGAGCATGGTCGCAATGATGAGGGAGGGATGAGATTCGTGACATCATTGCGCACTGAGTTAGCAACAAGGACCGAGTCATATCTGAATACTGGTCAGACGTTATGTGCGACGATATTGGGTGAGAGGAAAGTCAGTGATGCGTCCGTACGTACTTGAATGTCTCTCGCTCACGAGTCGCCTCGGACACCTTGTTGCCCGTCATGGTCGAGACTACGCTTGTACTTGCACCTTGTAGCCCATGCAGATGGTATATTGTATTGTTGAAACTTGGATTTGCGGTTCAGGAACAGGAACAGGAACGAGGCCGTTGGAAAATAGTGGCCTGGCAGAATTCCTTAACCAGGCCGACATTGGATCGGAAAGATTGGATTAGTCTGGGCCGGGCTAACATTACTTAAGAACAGGTCGAGACCAAGCGGATTAGATCCATTCCATGGATTGGATCGAATCACCGGGCAGGCTCCCACCTGTATGGATATGCTCCGGACCTATTGACCTATTGCCACCCCGCTCTGAGCCTCTCGCCCTGTGAAAAGTCCCAAAAGGCCCTAAAACGCATCTGGTAGTGGAGCCTTTCCGGGTACCTAGCATGGGGATCTACCACGTAAAAGACGGGAGATCGATCGATGGGCTTTAACTAAAACTCCATTCTTATTGCATGGGCTTTTAACTGAGTCAGACAACGGAATTGTTTGGTCAGAAAGGATTTCTACTTGGGAGGAAAAGCAACATGCATTACGAATCAGTCATCGGAATTGATAAGTATCTAACAAATAGGCACGCTCTTCAGTTTCATCTTCTGAAGGAACGAGACCTTCTTTACGACAACGATGATACGCTCTATGCCATAGGATGGCGGAAATAAATGTTCTGAATCCTGGCCCGAACTGGCATCAGATAATCAAACCATTTCGTCTCTTATGTATCGGCGAAAAAACCATCTCGCGAATTTGATGAAGAATATTGACTACAACGAGCAAATTACTCCTCCTTAATAAACCTTGAGGTTCTATAAGGAGGCAGAAGGTACTATGGATAACAGAAGCCTGCTCACCTGCGCCTGCCAAGGCACGATGCATGTTGTGCATGAAATTTTGGAGCTTTGCACAGTGCGCTACAGTGTTATCGATATCATCTGCACGGTACCTCGTCGCAACTTCTTTTTTTTTTCTGCGATGTCACTGTGCTTAGCTTCATGTCCAATTTGTTTACTTCCATCAGTTCCACCAAACAGTTAGCCTTTGTTCAATTGCTGGTTTTCATCTTTCACTAGAATCACTATGTTCGAAAATACTTGCACCCTGCCTCTTACGGCAGATGTCTTCACAACAGCTCTACATCCAACCGAACCTCTTCTCACAGTTGGTCTATCAAGCGGCCATGTCGAAACCTTCCGATTGCCGCCCGGTTCTGCCTCTGACGAAAGCGCCGATGGAGACACAAGTGTATTGAGCGATGGAAAAGGGATGATCGATTCGGTCTGGCGCACTCGACGACATAAGGGTAGTTGCAGATCTTTGGTCTATGCCCATGATGGCTCAGGTAAGCTTCCGTCACGGTGTTAGAAGAATTGGTCGCCGAGAACATAGGAGACGAAATGATTTCGCTACCTCGAGCCAGCTCAGGCTAGCACTTTGGCTACTTGATTTTAGAGCTCAAAAGCTTGACGACAATTCTTCTGTTATCCTTTGATCATACCATTTACTGATACGCTGCAGCTGTTTACTCCGCGGGAACCGATGCCCTCGTCAAGCACTTTGAGCCCACGACCGGACAGGTTATTTCCAAGTTTTCGATCCCTACCAGGACCACTTTGCCCGATGCGCCAACCTTGCTCCACGTCCTGAACCCCCAGTGCCTTCTTCTGGCGACAGACTCTGGTGCCCTTCACATCATTGACCTTCGAGACGGCACGCCCGACAAGAAGCCTAAATCTACGCATATTCCTCATTCCGATTATATTTCGTCAGTCACCCCTTTGCCGCCGACGCAAGCTAGTACCAGTGGCTTCCCCAAGCAGTGGGTCAGCACCGGCGGTACTACCCTGGCTGTGACCGATTTCAGACGAGGAGTGCTCGTCCGTAGCGAGGACCAAGAGGACGAGTTGCTGTCTTCATGCTATGTTTCGGGAATGGGTCCCAAAGGACATCGCGACAATGGCGTTGTGGCTTGCGGCTCGGGTTCTGGAGTGCTGACTTTGTGGGACAAGGGAGCCTGGGATGATCAGCAGGAACGAATCATCGTCGATGGCGACAAGAAGGGTGGTGAGAGTATCGACGCCACCGTCTTGATCCCACAAGAGATGGGTCTTGGAAAGAAGGCTGTCTGCGGTCTTGGTGATGGAAGTCTACGTATTGTCGATCTTGTTCGTAGGGAGGTCCGCGCGTCAGATAACCTCCGCCATGACCACATGGAAAGCGTCGTATCACTGAACTTCGACTCCTCAAACCGACTTATCAGCGCCGGTGGAAAGACTGTCAAGCTCTGGGAGGAGCTTTCTGCTCTTCAAGGCGACGAGGATGGTAGCGACGAGGATGAGGACGAGGATGATGATGATGACGAGGAGGACGATGCGGCAGGCAATGGCAAACGGGCTGCTGAGAGCGATAGCGACGAAAGCGACAGCGAAAATGACCACATCGCCGAAATGAAGCAACGGGCCAAGAGACGCAAGGAGGCTCAAAAGGGCAAACTTGGAGCTTACGGAGCTCACGGTGTAATGGGTTTCGAAGGATTAGATTAAGTAGTGGTTGAAGCAATTGAGGGGAAGGAATGGCGATACCCTGTCTGTTATAATAGAAACATTGCTCTCTAATCTACGGATTGGGGCAGAAATGGTTTGCTCAAGCAAGCCTGAATATAAATAAAACGGCCTGATTATTCTAATTTCCATATGTATTTTCCAGGATTTCAGCGGCTGAACAAACAGATCGACCTCCCCAGGCATGTCAACTTCTAACAGGCTCAGTATCCGGACGAATGGGTAGCAGAAGAATTATTTCAAGGTTTAGGGTGCCAAAAGAGTAGCACAGGTGCCGGTCTAAGCCAGCGGAATGTAACTTGACTATTTCGTCTCTTATGCTTACAACAGCCAATTCTTCTGGCATCCTGGCGGCCGGGGTCGAACTGCTTTTACTTTGCAATGGCGTTTTCAGACAGGAAATCACACGGCATTTTGAGAGAATAAGTTAATTTTTGACAACCTTCAATGTTTAAATATCTGGCTATCTAGAATTTTTGAAGAAGTCCACCCTAGGAGGTGGACATCCAACGACTCATGTGCAGTTGGTGGTCTTCCGAAACGAAGCACGATCACATAGTGAAATAACCAACAAGAACCCATTCGTTTTTGAGTCGGGAGGAAGTATGCTTTTCGGTCGATGCTACACGACCGAGAGCAATACTTCTTTGAGGCCCAGTAGCCTCATGTTTGACTCGGAGCCCAGTAGCCCCTTATGATGAGTCTTCTCGAAGCCCAGTAGCTTCGGATTGCAAGTACACTCTTTCTATCCCGGTAGGGTGCAGAAGCAGATACCATGGCATGATGCCAAGGATTGCATTCTGAACCGGCGACTAGAGAGAGGACTTGAAGCGGCGTCCTCTCCAGAATTGCTCCAACACCAGAGAATCCTAGAAGATTCAGCCGCTGGTCGGTGTCTTGTAGAGAAACGCACGACGCCCCGTCAAACAAGTGCAGGATATTAATAAGCCCTGCGGGGCGGGGGGTCGTGCTTCTTTCTCCGTGGCTCCTCGACGCTTGAACGGTCGAAGAGATGGTCGGCGGCGTGCGTCTGTGTGAATATCGCATAAATCATCATGATCCCTGAACCCGAGAAATCGGTATGTGAAAAAAGGGGGATCCGAAATGAGAAAAGGAGGTCGAAGACTCCTCGCAGATTACAAGACAGTTGTATAAAAAAATTCGTGATCAAAGTGGCATCCGTGATAATCTCGGAGGGTTTTAGACGCCTGGGATATGAAGGTAGCTCCAGCAGGCATCCTCCGACTTGGGCGGCTGGTCGGCTCGAGCAAAGTCTTCCATGACTTTCTCGTCGCTGGGTGCGGAAAATCGAGTTGGTGAGCTCATGGTGAGGTTGTCGTCGTAAATGATAACGGCGGGGAGTGTCTTGGATTCGCTTGAATATTTGCCTTCCTCTTCAGTTGCAGAATCGCTGGGTCCTCCACCAGGGTGAAGCTCGCTTCCGCTGTAAGTCGTAGGGATGCAAATATGAGGGATCCCTTTTCGTAAGCTGACGGCTCGGGCCAAGGTGACTGCAGAGCCACCACCAACACTAACAACACAGTCTCTGTTGGAGATGCGAGATGGTACGGAAACAACGGCGGAGCTGAGAACACGACTGTCGAGGTTCGGGATGATGGCTTGGATCTTGCGGGCGAGGGTTAATCGTGAAGGGCTTGAAACAATGAGAGGCGACGACAGATGCAATCGAGCCAGCTCAGATGGCAGTCGATGAATGGTATCGGGACCAACAACTACTCGCGGTTTGGGGTGACGGCGGGATCGGCGATGTCGAGATCGTGAGCGAGAGCGTTGAGGTTGAGGCTGGGTGGTGCCGGACGGACCCGGACCCGAATTCGGACCCGGATGCGGACCGGCGTGAGAGTACGGAGGAGACAAGTTGGTGGCCGGGGGCGTCACGAGCGCGGACGCCTTGACGGCGAAAGCCTCAAACAGCTTCGCACGTATAGCGACAAGATCAGGGTCTGTGACTTTTTGAGGTGGAAGACGGTGTATGGCGCTGGTGGAGCGTTGCATGAAGGGCCGACGCCGGCAGTCCAGTCCGGATATTTCGTACGGCGATGGTCGAGGGAAAAAAGTCGAAGTCCAACGTGCGCGACATCAATCAAGTTGCCCAAAATGACAGTTAAGGATTGATGACGGTTGTTGGAAGAGAAGAAAAATTCGTTGGTAGGAGATTTAGATGAAAGATCAAAGATTCACAAGTCAGAAACATAGCACGACAGAGGTTGAGCTAGGGCACATCCATTAATTATGGGCAGGCAGATTTGGCGTGACCTGACCTGAACTCAACTGCTCTGCTGGCCTGGCCTAGGCTGGGCTGGGCTGCTGGGTTGCTACCTGGAACAAGACTTTTTGAGTGAAAATCCCTTTTTTTTTCTTTCCTTAGTTGCACCAAAAAAGCACATGCACCGGTGAACAAAGTAAGAGCAGCACCTGTAGGAAGCGACCCTTTGGCTTTGCTGTGGTTCCGTTCCTTTCGCCACGCAAAAAGACGCCACGCTTGGTCGCTTGTAGGTTCGCTTCGCTCGTTCAGGCGGAAGGATGGAAATTTGCTTTGCTTTCTTTTCTCCTAATACAGTAACAGCGAAACGCAAAAAAAGGGTCCAACGACCAAAGATGGACTACCGGACGAGAAGGTCCAGTAGTGACGGAAGGTTTGTGTGGCAACGGGGGGTTGCTTTTGTTGCTGCTGCTGCTGCTGTTTGCTTGGACCCTGCGTAAAATGAGACCCTGAAAAAATGATGCGATGCTTCCAAGGGGGGGCAACTGTATAATGCTGCGGTAATGAAGACGTCAAAGGTGCAACGGATGGGGATGGAATTGACCCCCAGAAGCACCTTGGAGGCAGTTTTTCCGTTCCCGACCCGGAGCATGACTCCGGAAGGTGGACCCTGATCGGAGACGAGGTCTCGTGGCTTCGGAGCCAGTCCGCCAATCAAATACTCTGACTCCAGCAGGGAAGAATCTCTCGTCTGTTTCTTGTGGCGAAGGGATCCTGGGGAAACTTGCAAGTCAAGAAATCGCATCCCTTTCTGACATTCCCGTCCGCCTTGTGGTAATGTAGATCCTACCTAAAATATATCGAATGCTTTGGAATCGACTAATTATTGGTTCAGTTTCAACGCCACAAATTGAAGCTGAAAGAGTATCTTTGCCCTTGTGATAGGCACAAATAGACGCTGCATCTGTAAAAAATAATCAATAGTCCCTGACTACCTTACCGAAAGCCTAAAGAATATTCCTTCCGGTCGGTAGCAACCAGGAGTCATGCAAGTCTAAACAGTCTCGAAACAGCGATTCTTTATGCTGCTGCTGGTTTGTTTCGGTTCAACAAAGGAAATGCTAACGCATGGCTCTGGGTCCGCCAAGGGCCAGAGAACTGGGGAATGAACTAAAAAAGTGAGTTTACCCCAGAGCTGGCGGTCCGTGAAGCCGCTGCATCTCCACCGTTGATACCATTGCGGGACCATCGTGAATCGGACTCTTTACTGTACCTGGTCATAGTTTATATATCACTCAGGACAACTCAGCGACTCCTTCCTATGCAGAAGAAGATCCCAACTTCGGACAAGGAATATTTCCTTTTCTCCTTTATGCGGAGCTTGGCTCTCCGCTGACTGATAGTGTGATGTACCGAAGTATGGGTTCTCAATATTTACCATGATTCAGACATGGTGTTGTTACCATTAGGTACCTGATGCGCAGAAACCAGGAACAAAAACAGCGAATGTCTGGTATTTCTGAATCAGAAATATCTCTTGCCGAATCGTGTTGGAATCTGTACAATTTTGTTATATCCGACTTGGTCGCTTTGGTGAAATCGTGTCCAGGTACAGGGTAAGACATGCTGCACTGACGAAGGCTTGACTGGCTGTACCTGTTCTCGTCAGTGAATATTCACACTTCAATTCAAGCACTGGCTTTACACATCATATCTCATCTGATATATGATGCTATGGCTTTTCTGGGGTACATGAAAAAGTATTAAAAAGGGAAATGCATCTCGTAACAAAAACTTCGTAGATGTGGATAGGCGAGCGAGGAGCGGCAGTCGCCGGTGCCTCCCGTTTTTAGCTCCAAGCTCGAGCTTCAGAGCTCCTTCTTGCTCTAATTACTTTCCCTTGCTAGCTGTGTAACACGCTCAATCTCCTTTCCTTCCTCAACATCATCACAATCGCATAGCACATTCTCTTTACTACAATCCATGACTTTGCTTTGCTAGCGGTATCATCTATCTTTGCCTCTCGATAACAGGTCTTTACGGACGATACCGCGCGCTCGAGCTTTCTCTCCCTCAATCGAACTCATCGTCAAAAGCTATAGCGACTACGCAGTCGCCCGATCCCGTTTCCAAGCATATTAATCGACTCTATTATTACTATCGGACGCAGCCGACAGCCGATTTCCCCTCGCATTGCATACTATCTTATCTGATAAGCTTCAGCTGGGCAGAAGAAAGCATGTGCGCTCCCTAGCCAGTGTGGCGTTGCATAGTGCATATTGGAGATAAACAGAATCGAGATGGGTGGCAGCAATACTCCAAGTCCAAACCGGCCTCTAGGTCTTCAGGAAGTGTTCTGATTTTGCCAGCCGGTTATCTTCCTGCTGGTAGTTCCTGCTGGAGGGTTGAAGATCTGGAATGGGCTGTTCGAGACACGGCTTGAAATTGATGATCAACCAAAGCCAAAGAATGGATGGATAATGGATGCAGACACCGCGACCTAATCCGAGTCCGCGGCGACGGGCGATGACCCCAGAAGATGCGCCGATGCGCTATCTCATCCCCTCGATCCAGCCCCAGCTCAATGGTCTAAACTGGTTTGTGACAGGCCGCACGCTTTTGTTTCTTCCCCCACGCTTGGTACAACCTCCAATGGCAGTTTCTCAATTTGATAACGGTCCAGGTCGTCCATCATGGGACTTGGCTCAACCATTAAAAGGAAGCAATGGCGCGCCCTTCAGAATCCAGAACAGGACTCTCAAGATTACCATCACATGTTGTTAACTGATATCTTCGGTTGACATCCGTCTTTGGTCTTTGAGCTCGGACCCGCAACCGCCCACTTTGTCCGCTTCTGCCCCTCATCAACCATTCAGCAAACATCTGGGGATCAAGAAGTGCTGATAAGCTATCTAAGCTATCTCTGGATCCACGAGCTATCAATTACACATCTTGGGTTACTAACCCAAAAAAATAACTCTAGCCACAACCGACAACGGCTTCGTCTGACTGCCAATCGATTTCAGTGCTCAGAGAAGAGTCAATAAGAGTCTATAACTCCCCATTGACCACGTTAGAACGGCCAAACCTTGACTTACAACAAAGAACATCCTCGCTTACCTTTGTTCGATACTCGAACTTTAAAGCACTCTGTCTCGAAGACGATCGACAGTAAGATACCTGATTAGCTTCGGCTGTCAATGATCGACACCCCGGACAACCTTTAAGTCAAAACCGCTCCAACGTTGGCCTGTTTCGAATTTCTTCACACAACTCCAATTCACCACATCAACCAACAATGGATGAAGACCAAGGACCACAGTCTATTGCGCCTGAGCACGCGCCATCCAAGACAATTGCTCAACGTTGCAATGGCCTCGTCAAAGCCTTCACAACCAAGCATGGTCTAATTGGCGATTATGACTATGGCTTCCTCTTCCGGCCGAACCTGCCTTTCATGAAGAAAAGTGTCAACCCAAGTCCTTTCTTTGGACTCAATGATAAAATGCCAGTTCTTCTGGGTTTACTACTGGGTTTTCAACATGCATTGGCGATGTTAGCAGGAGTCATTACACCACCCATAATTATCAGTGGCAGCGCCAATCTATTGCCCGAGCAACAACAATATCTTGTCTCGACTGCCCTCATTGTCTCGGGCATCTTCTCTGCTGTGCAGATCACCCGGTTTAGACTGTTTGGTACACAGTAAGTAACAGCACAGACGAACATACTGTATACCAGGACTGACTTATCTTGCAGATACTACCTCGGCACTGGAGTGTTATCTGTCGTGGGCGTCTCTTTCAGCGTTATTCCCGTCGCCCAAGGCAGTCTTTCCCAGATGTACGCCAATGGCTTCTGTCCTTCTGATTCTGACGGAAACCCTTTGCCTTGCCCCGAGGGATATGGTGCCATCCTTGGTACCTCGGCCGTGTGCGCTCTTGTCAATATTCTCGTTTCTTTCATCCCCGCCAAGTTCCTGCTGCGAGTACTACCGCCCATCGTTACAGGCCCTACAGTCATGCTCATCGGTATCAAACTCATCAAGTCAGGTTTCTCTAACTGGATGGGCGGTAGCGGAGGTTGTATGACAGCTACCGATGGATTGTTTGCGCTGTGCCCTAACATCAACGCACCCCATCCTCTGCCTTGGGGATCTGCTGAATTCCTGGGCTTGGGATTTTCTGTCTTTGTCGCCATCATTCTTTGCGAACGATTTGGTTCGCCTATCATGAAATCCACTTCGGTCGTTATTGGATTACTAGTAGGCTGCATCATTGCCGCTGCTTGTGGCTACTTTGACCGATCTGGTATCGACTCAGCTCCTGTTGCCTCGTTCGCATGGGTTCACACTTTCCCACTTTCAGTTTATGGACCACTCGTCCTTCCTCTCATTGCTGTGTACCTTGTCTGCGCTACTGAAGCCATCGGCGATGTCACGGCTACATGCGATGTTTCGAAGCTTGAAGTCACTGGAAAGACATATGAATCTCGTATCCAGGGCGGTATCCTAGCCGATGGTCTTGCAGGATGTATCGGCGCCTTGATGACCATGACCCCTATGTCCGTCTTCGCTCAGAACAACGGTGTCATTGTTCTCACCCGCTGTGCTAATCGCAAAGCTGGTCTCGCTTGCGCCATGTTTCTGATCATTATGGGCATTTTTGCAAAGTTCGCTGCGGCTCTCATCGCCATCCCTTCAGCCGTCCTTGGTGGCATGACTACCTTCCTCTTCAGTGCTGTGGCTGTCTCTGGTATGTCAATTATTGTTCGCGGTGTACCATTCACTCGGCGCAACCGTTTCATCCTTACTGCCGGCTTCGCCCTGGGATATGGTGCGACACTTCTTCCTACTTACTTTGACAACGTCTTTACCTACGAGGGCGACAACCGTTCCCTCCAGGGTTTCTTGGATGCCATCGTCCTTATCATGGAGACTGGTTTTGCGATTGCCGCTATCGTCTGCGTGGTACTGAACCTCACCCTGCCCGAAGAGTTGGGAGACGAAATCGATGCCGCTCGATCAACAACCAACATTACGATGCACGAGGAGGCAGAGCAGAACAAGGCCATTGAGGGTTCAAGTCGAGATCATAGTTTTGATCCCAAAAAGGAGGGTTGATGATGTGGATGTCATGTATATACGCTCAGTATACGACCATGAGCGCGAATCTTGTTTTTATGTAAGAGATCTTGAAAAGATACGAATATTGTAGGATCTAGGTGTTATGATTGGCTCAAACAAATACTATCTAAGACGCTCAGACGTTTCAATTCCTCAAGAACTTCACTCCTAGTAACAGTATAACTCCTTAACTCGATTTAAACCAGTGACCAAGATATCGCCCGATCCAACACTCCGAACATAACGCCTATCGTTATCAAATCATCATAATATACTACCGCACCCTCGTGCCCTACAACAAAAAGATTGCTCGCAGAACTAGAATTAATTCGTCACCCCATATACAACATGGGATCTGCCTTCATATCGTTGCCTGTGGAAGTTGTTCATCTGCTTCCTGTAGCTCTCTTGTACCTCGCCCCATAGACCGCGATGCCCATCTTGAATGCATTTGCGTAAGTCACCTTCCTTCTTGATCTTGCAATGGCATACATTAGGCGTGCCGCAGAAGTAGGCTCTTGCTTGAGGATTGGGAAACTTGATGCTCAGTCTCTTGAGGTTTGACCAGGTGACGTTGTCGCTTGTCGAGGCTGGGTTGTTGATTGCCAAGCGGGCCAGATTCCAGTCCATGTCACCACCCGAGGCAGACTGTTCATACCGTCGGGCTGCAATGGTTGTGCGTCCTTTATTCTTTTCAACGGCAGCAATCTCGCAAGACGCACCATCCCTTCCCGATTTGCGGCAATCACAACGTTCAGGGTTCATATTTGTTTCGTCGTCGATCTGAATCGATACGAATGAGAACTTGTCACCTTGAAGACTTTGAGTGAAAAGAACAAGCATCGGCTTGACTGGACGCTTGTGGAGAAGACCAGTGGAGTTTGTTCCCGTTGAGATACTCACACTCCGGACGTCGCTATTTGAGGAATTACTGGTGCTCGACATGCCGCTTGAGATGCTGAACGAGCGTCCGTTCTTGGTTGTAGCCGTGCTGTTAGACCGAACGGCAAAAGTAGACCCTGATTGAGAGGGCGATGGAGGCTGCCCGACAGGCTTCCGTGGGGGCGATTCTCGCGGCGGCCCTTGTGTTGGGAAGAAGTTCCGTCTCTCCAAAGGCGAAGGACCCATGGGCTCAGGAGAGCTACTGGTTGGCCAAGGGTCATAGGAATCAGAACCCACAGGTTTCCGTTGCGGAATAGTCGCAAGACTTGGTTGACGCTGAGAAGGGCTGGCATTTTTCCCATTGAAAGTAGGCATAAAGTTCCCACTCTCCCTAGGGGACGGAATCGGCATGCCACCCGAAGCGACCGTAGATATAGAGTTCTGCCGACTGGTCGCTGAACCTCCAACTGTATTGGCGGCAGCATCGCTGTTCGTGACGAGTGAGCCTGCGATTTGCTTAGGGATCCAGAGTTGAAGCGAAGCGTTCTCCATAATGTTGTTGACCCCGTCGAGGACAAAGATGACTTGGCAATCGTATTGCGTATACGAATCCCACGGTTTGAAACCAGTCATTGCTTGCTGGAATTTGAGTATATCGCCTCCATTGAGAAAGTCCAGCCGTGCTATCCGCTCATTCTCTCGCAAAAGTATTTCTTGTGTCATATGAGTGCCCAAGGGTAAGGCATACTGGGGGTTAAACATCATGGACCTAACATCGAGGTCGATAGTTTCGGCTTTTCAAGTTAGTACTTTTCAATCATTAGTAATGTAGAGTTCACTAACATTTTTGTCTTGGTTTACCTGTCGACACTTGTTCTAAGCCTGATAGAATGATTCTGAATCGTCGCCCATCTGCATCCAATCTGCGAAGAAGCTTCACTTTCTTCTCAACACCTGGGTTATGGCTCCGCAATGAACTGGAGCCTATTAGCGGGTAGAAATGGGGGACGACACAGACTACTTACACCTCGAGAAGCTCATCCATCATTTCGTCTTTAGTCACCACGTCGATCAGAGGGGCAGGTTCCTTCTCAGGCCAGATAGCAAACATGTCTCGCTTAAGCCTTGAAGTTACAATTCTGGGTGTAACAAGCTCTGGACCAAAACGGGCACATTGGGAAGAAAGATCCTATTAAAGTTAGTACGGAGAGTTTGTTGAGGCTAAGATCTTACATCTTCGAGTTGTCGTGTGTATGAGGGCCAGTGTGAGGTCTCCTTGTTTGCTGCATTCAAGGCTGGAGACGCTTGAATTCGTTTCAAGATCCATACGCATTTTAGTAAGTTGAGATACTGATCAACATCAGGGACTCGATCCTCGACCAGCATTCCCGACTGAAAATTGATTGTGCTCTTGTGGAAGTTGAGTATAAACGCATCTGACAGTTCGCTCAGTTCGAAATCGTCCTCAACGCGGTATTCTGGATGGCCAGTAAGTGCCGCAAAGCGAAACTGGTCATCCAGTTCAAGAGGAACCTCCAACAGCACAACACTTCGCTGAACCCGTTGATCAAGCGCCTCGTCAAGGTCGGGGATTAGAACTCCCATCAATCGGCGAATATCATGGTGAACGTCGGTGATGCGCTCCGCGAGGTCCTGATGCATGAGTTCAATATCTTGTCGTACGCGAAGAAGAAGGTCACTATCCTGGTCAGTCTGCTGAAGCGTCTAAGAGTATTCATACTTACACCTCCAGTGGTTTCAAGACGTGAAGGATCTTGGAATTATGTAGCATAATCCGTTGACGCAGTTGATCCGCCACAGGTTGGACAAGAACATTCCACTCTATGTTGCGTAGAGGGTTACCTCCCTTTCGGTACCGTTCGTTGGACTCGAGTAGATGTCGACATTCCCGTAGTGTCATCTCATAGTCTCCAACAATTTCGACAAGTGAAGTCCGATCCCATCGTAGCCTGGCTGGTACACCTGGTCTCCGCTGGCTTTGAAGGGAATCATCTGCCCAGGTGATTACTCTGCTTAGAATATCGAGGTTCTCGGCAAGGCCCCGAATATCTCTTCCAAACTCTGTATATTGTCTTGCTGTGAGGTAGTCAGATGCATGAGCTGCATATGAGGATTACGCGGAGCGGAATGACAAGTGAACGAAGGAAGAACATGTCTAAGTCGTGTGTTTTGAAGATCATCGCTCGATCACATAGGGAAAGCCTTGCGAGGCATAGTATGTGCATAGAAAACTAAGAATATGGATTTTGCACTTACTTGCATTATGATCTTCCTTCCAACCAAAACGGTAAATATCCCAGGCTAGGCGCCCAAGGTTGATGATGTCTCCGACCTGTAGAGGGCCTGCCATCGGATGCTGCTTCAGTTGTTCACATATAAAAGCTTTGAATAATACAAATCTACAATAGGAAGCTCAAGACGACCACTTAGTAAATTATCGCTCTCAATAGGACCAGTAGTTTGCAGAAGAGGTGAGGGGCAGCAACACCATAAAGAGCTTCTTGACGGGGTTGTTCCTTGAAATGTGAGCGGCGGAATGGTAACACAGAACCTGAACTGGCTCAGTTTGATTGGTATGGATGACACCCACCAACTCGCCCCAAAGATACAAAATGCAAGGGCTGGATGAGTCGTCGCAGAGCAAGATAAGAGATGGGTGTCCAAGTCCTGCATCCGTAGGACACGTACAGTTCCGGCGTGGCTGGCAGCAGTAACTTGAAGTGAGAACTTTCGTTCTGTAACAAGGTAGAGGAGTCCTTCTAGGCAGCTATGGGCATGGCAAACTGACAGGGACTCGTGGCTGATTCGCATCAAATAGCGTCCGTTACCCAAGCGGGTGACCGACGCGAACATCCATCCGTTGCGGCGGGGTAGGGCTGAGGATAAAGACTCCTGCATAGTTCTCATCAATAAGCACTTCATGGAGTTCTCCCAGCTTTAGCGATTAAAAGAATTGGTTTCAGTCTCTTTTACATGGTACCCATGTTGAACCGAGACCATACTCTGGTATTGTATAGATATCCATGGTCGTATCGAGTCCATCGCATCCAGTCTCGGTCATGTTTTCCCAAAAGTGATGTTGGCTACTGGTGGTTCTTTCAGCTCGTCTTGGCATTTCTGTATGTATCATTAGCCATGTTTGAGAGCACTGGGGCTATGCAATGCAAGGGTGATGGATTGGGTGCTGGAATTAAAGTATCATCAAGACGCTAGAAGCGCAACGGCTAGCGTCACGGCTTGGTAGGAACGCATGGGTAAGGCGCTCTAGCAGATAACGAGGCTGCTGGGTATCAAGAATGAGGGGAAAATCTGCCTAGGATGGCAGGGGAGTTGAAATGGTCACACGACGGTGACGAGGCTTAAAATACATCTTCTGCTTGGTCGGTCAATCGATCTGGACTGAAGGCTGAACGCCCGGCTCTGGTGTGATCGCCAACACCTTGCATGAGGGTTATCGAGAGCGTTCCTTAATAATGCTCATAGTCCCAGCCGGCCATGGGTGGTATCCCAGTTCGGATCGTGCTGTTTGCCTTTGTGCGAATCAATTAGGAGGCCTCGTCGACTTGACTCAATGTCGGGTCCGGTTTAGGACTCTCTTATCATTCAAGCTATCTCCAAACCAACCAAGTCCAGTGTTGTGAGTCCGTCTTCAAGAGGTGCTATCTCTTGTAAGCACAATCATCATGGACGACTTTGCGACATACCACAGCAAAAACAATCATGTCGTAACGCCCCGGCACGACGACCGACCAGAGAATAGTGACAGAGAATCTCTTTTTGGCGACAATGAAGGAGAGATCTACACGTCCGCGCCCAAAGAGGCGTTCAAACTTGGGTACTTCGATGTCATGTGTTTGGTGCTCAACCGAATGATTGGTGAGTGTTGAAGCTTTCGCACATTAATTTCATGTATTTTGTGAGGAGTCAATCGACAGCGACTATGTTCAATACCGCGGTGAGATGATGGTGAAGTTGAAGTTGAATTTAAGTTGAGCTCCGTGTAAGAGATCAGATGCACCAAGTGGGGTTGGTTGGGGACGAGGACATCTCCCTGTCCAGATCAGATCGATGGATCGCTCCTTCCTTGATCCAAGCTTGGATTTTTATGTGTCAGAAGAACTCCAGTATTCCATCTTGGAAGGTGCATCCTGACTTGATACATCGAATTATGAAGGCTCACATTATGGATCGATTGCTAATGGCTTCTTACAGGAACGGGCATCTTTAACTCGCCCCAACGAGTAATGCAAGGAACAAACTCGACCGGTGCATCACTTCTCCTTTGGCTCGCTGGAGTCATCTACTGTCTCTCAGGCGTTCACGTATACATCGAGTATGGCCTCAATGTCCCTCGCTATACTATCAACGGCATCGAGCAAAGTGTTCCGCGCAGTGGCGGGGATCTCAACTACCTCCAATATGTCTATCGAAAGCCTGCATACAGAAGTGGTACCATCCTTCTGAGCACATGCATGTTTGGCTTCTGCTTTATAGCTCTTGGCAATATGGCAGGCAACTGTATCAGCTTTGCTACCAGAGTGCTTGCCGCATCGGGAGAAGAGGATCCGACTCCTGGTGCTGTTAGAGGCATCGCCATTGGCATTGCAATCCTCACTTGCTTTATCCATACGTTCTCTCGAAGAGGTGGCATTCTACTCAACAACATGTTGGCCATGATCAAGGTCATGATCCTCCTTCTTATCATTGTGACAGCTATTGTTGTTGGAGCTGGAGGTCTGAGGGGTTCTGATGGCAAACCAGTGGAAAAGCATATCGGGGCAAATACCCAACCTTCTACCGCCTTTGCCGACTCTGGTGATGCGAATGGGTATGCCCATGCCTTTCTTGCCATTATCTTCAGTTTCTCGGGTTTTGAGCAGCCGAATTATGTCATGGGCGAGATTAGTCGACCAAGACGCAAGCATCCAGTCGCTATGCTTTCCGGTGTCAGCATCGCCATCTTGCTTTATATGGCAGTGAATATCTCATATGTAAGTCACCAGCCTCGGTGCTATTAAAAAAGAAATGTTTGCTGACTCTCTTTCAGATGGTTGTGGTGGACAAAGATTCCCAAGTAAAGAGCAACGTAGCGGAGCAGTTCTTTGTGCTTACGCTCGGGTCTTTGAGCAACGGCGGAACCGGAAAGCGGATTTTCAACGCCTTCCTAGCCGTGTCAAGTATGGGAAACATTATCGTCATGACTTACACCGCTGCCCGTGTCAAGCAAGAAATTGCAAAAGAGGGCATCATCCCTTATGCCAAGTTCTTCGCTCAAGACGGCGACATCTCCCTGGGCCGCCTTCTCAACTGGTTCAAGAAGAGAGGAATGTTCAGTTCACTTCTGAACACACGGTGGCTCTCGCCGGAGGACCACAAGGAGAGAACTCCCGTAGGCGCCTTTGTATTGCATCTTGGTTCATGCTTTATCCTGATATTCGCCACCTGGCGTGCAGGTTCTGGCAATTCCTATGTGTTGCTCACGAGCTTGAGTGCATATGTCATCAATGCCTTTTTTGGCATATTCCTTGGGCTTGGTATCCTGATATTGCGCTTCAAAGGACCTCCCAAAACCGACAAAGACGAGATACAAAGCCCAGCGGCGCCTCCCCAGACGTGGCGCCAGATGACAGGGAAGCACATCAATCCCACACTAAGCGTTATATGTGCTGTTGTTTATATCATTGGTGGTCTGTGGCCCATTGTCACCATTTGGATCAAGCCAAAGAATGTTGAAAGAAACCCAGATGATAATGAACCAGAGCTTCCGTGGTGGCTTGTGCCCACTATTACATGGTCCATTATCGTCGGGAGTGTATTTTGGTTCCTTGGCTTTGTTTCCTTTGCAATGCGTAGAAAGCACAAAAGAAACGAGATCTTTGTGGTCGAGAAGAAGCCCGAGTTTGAGAGTGCCGATGGACCTGATAGCTCGGATGAGAAGCCAGGTGGTTATGTGCTCGTGCATGAGACTGTCTATCTGAGTTGGACTGCGGCGGAGATACATGAAACGAAAGGATCTGGCACAACTGGGTTCCAGGAGCGACCTGGTGCATTGTCTGCGACTCCAGTGAATCGATATGCTGGGACTGACTTTGAAGCGTTCTACCCGGAGGAACGTACTGCTGTACCAACAAGGGCGTATAATCCAGGATATAGACCATAGTTGTCTTTGTAGCTAGAGTTATGTACATGTAATCAAAGAGGTCGTTAATTATGAGTTCATTTTACGTCACCATGTCAATGTGTGCAAAGATTGTGATTCACAAGTGATGCAACACAACGAGATTACAGAATCGAGGAGCAGGGCAAGAATGCATTCACAGTAGAGCGAGTTTTGATGGGAGTATTTCGAGTTTCATTTCGACTCAAGAAAGATTTGTCTGATACATGACATAAAGAAGAATTGTCTACTGTGCGCGGCTCCGATCACCCTATGCCAAGGGTATCACACTACACAACTCGATAAACCAATGGTATTCATAAATCCTTTTCATGACGCCAACCCAAAAACCATCTCTTATTATTGCTGTTCGAAATCCCGCGCTTTACGAGCAAGCACTCGTATATTATCGACGAAACCTTCAACCAGCTCTGGATAACGATGTGCCGCACCACCGGCAGCTTTCCGGCCTTGGTCGATGAGTAATTTTGGATCTAGTTCGATCTCAAGTTCGTGGTTCTTCTCCGCTCGACCCTGAATCACAATTAGTAAGACTTCTTTAATAGTAATGGTAATGATGCAAACATACCCCTTGCCCAGCATGTGTGACCTGCGTGAGGTCGATCTGGTAAGGGCCTTGCGTATAGCTCAGCCTGTCCTTGTTTCGATCAGGGTTATCCCCGGGATTTTGAATATGTTCGAGCTCCTCCAATGGGCCATCCCAGTCCATTTCGAGGTTAATGCTGATCCGGCAATCCATAGGCATGAGCGGGAAATGAATATCGAGATCAGCAATTCGAGCCTTAATGATTTTGCCGAGAACCTCATTCGTTTTCTGGTCGTATGTGACGCGGCATTTAACCCATTTGCCCAACCGACTACGCACACAGCCTGGGATTCTAGCCTGCAGATCTGGTGGGAGGTCGAAGAAACGGTCTCTTTCTCTTCGGTGTTTGTAAACAACAGGGACACGATGGTTTGCGCCTCCTGGACCACGAGGGTGCGTTGACTTGACTATCTCGTTCAGGAAATCGTTGTTCTTCTTATGGGCAGCCTGAACTCATTAGTAATTATTCACGGAGGCAGAAACGATGGGAAAGGCTTACCTCTGTCATACTGCTCTCAAACTTGATGCGACTGCTATCTAGCAAAACGCACTCAGAGGCAATACCACGCTCGACTCGGTGACGAGTGTCTTTGTCGATCAATGTGCCCAGTTTTGCTTCTACTTCAAACTGGATACCTCGACTTGAAATCTCGCCCATATCAGGAGCATTGAGCACATTTAAAAACAAGAAATCGGCCACCTTTCTACTAATATCCTCAAAAGGCTTTACACCAGTGATACTAGGTTCCCAAGGGCCAAGAATCTCATTCGGTGATGGCTCAGCGGGTGGTGCTGGGTGAGCAGCAGGTACTGCTCTGTTAGTCTCAGGCGAGGCATGACGACTTGGTCGAGTATTTTGTTCTTGCTTTCCGCCGTTGATGTGGGAATGAAGTCGCTTTTGGAGGACGAAATTGGCGTTCGATGGCATGGCGTTCATTCGACGAGAATCCTGTGCCCATATAGGTGGCTGCGAATAGCGTCTTCGCTTCTTCGTTGAAGTTGCAGAAGCCACATCTGACTCTGAGTCGCGCTTAACGGGAGTTGGGTTGCCATTGACCTCGCTCGGCTTCATTCGTTTCTCGTCGGGTTCTTGCTTAGGACTACTGTCAATGCGGTCCTCAAGCTTGCGCTTGGCAGGAGTTGCCGCGCGCTCGGTGTCTATCGCCATCGGTTGTGGAATGGAAACTGTGTGCGACTGTTTGTTTTTGGCGTCTGCTGCCGCCAGTGCAGCAAGTGGATCGGGATTGCTGTGCAGTGAATGCACTCGGGACTTGGGGCTAACGGAGGCACTTGGAGCGCGTTCGCTACGTGATTGAGATCGTCGATGTGCGTCTGGAGCCGGGGAGCCGTAGCTGCTAGATATACGTTTGGTGGGAGGCGGAGGTGGAGGTGGTGAGCTTTTTACTTGTGCTTGTACCTGTGTCTGTGCTTGCGCTACTGGGGCTGCTGTTGTGTATGAAAGTCTTTGTTGGTATGGACTTGAAGGCTGTGCGAACACTCCAGGAATAGAAGTTTGTCGAGACCCAGATGAAAGAGGTCCGCCAGGCGTAGCTGGCTGAGATGGTTGGCGGCTATGACCGTATTCTCCAGGAGGTGGGCGCGAAGCGACGACGGGACTACTGCCTTGAACAAAAGAAGGCCCGTAAGGGTGTTGAGGATGAGCCGATGTTGGAGTGGGAGTAGAGTGTGTAGAGTGTGCAGAGTGTGGAGCTGAGGGAGGACGTTGATTTAGGTATTGCTGGTTACCTGGAGCGCCGACAGGGGGAGTTTGAGGAACAGAACTTTGATGATGTTGCTGTTGCTGAGTTGGAGGATAGTGACCGTGGACCTGACCCGGGGGTACGGCTTGTGGGCCCTGAGAGAAGCTTTCGCGAGGAGCGTATTGAGCAGGTGAGTGTTGATGTCTTTGGACTGGACTCGCTACATCGGCAGGGGATTGGGTATGAGGAAAGGGATATCCGGCAGCAGCCGATGCAGCAGAAGGGGTTGTTGATGCTCGATAGGGGGATTGACCTGGAGTTGGGCCGCTGGGGGACCGCGCATCGTGGAAAGAGCCTGCTGGTTGTAGCGGAGGCGGCACAGGACGTCCTGGATATGGCCCGGGTGTCTGGTACGGAGATTGAGGTGGGTACGCTCCAGGCGGCGGTTGATGGGGAGATGGCTGATGATGCGACGGTGGCCGCGACTGAGGGTGATGAGGATGGCCAGCGTGCTGAAGATATTCCTGTGGCATAGGTTTTCCCGGCGAGGGATGAGGAGGTGGTTGTTGACGGTTGTACTCGCGATAATAGGGAGGTGGAGCGGGTGCCTGGGCTGGACTCTGTGATGGTCGATGCATCTGGTGCTGCTGTGGGTGAGGCTGTTGGATATGCTGCGGCGGCGGTTGCGGCTTCGGCGCGGGTTTGGCAGGAGCGCGGTCGCCGCCATCAGACGTGTTCAAAACGGATCGAAGGTCCATGGCGATGGTGTTGATCTAATTAAGGATGAAGATTCTGCGACAACACGACGCCGCAAGCTTCCGGCGCGAGGGAAGACCACGAATCAATTTGGACGTCAATCACTCGTCTAAAAGCAGATTGAAGACGCGATTAAAGCGCGGCCAGATGCCGGCGAATGTCGTCCTCAGTGATACACAATATAAAATGTCGATGAAGCGATGGAGGACGGTCGGCGTCGCGCGAGGGGAAAGGCGCAAGTGGACATGGATGACTGGGTTGGTTGTTTCTACGCCGCCATGGCGAGGCTGCCACGCTGTCGAATTCACGATTATCGATTGGCGAATTCAGTTCGCGTCAAATTTTGAATGGACACAACTAAAAGGTTCTCGAGCAAATGGGGTAGTCGATGGATCGTGTGCGCTGAAGGTTATTCGCAATTTCAAAAGGTCATAGTCGATTTGGGCATTTGGTGTTGGTGTCCTGTCGTCGTTTTCTGGCGACAAACAAAGATGTATAGGCGACAGCCTGACGCTAGAGCTCTCTCACTCTTCAGGGATGTGGGAGTACAGTACAGTACATGTACATGTACCAATGTACATGACGCGGGACAAATTTTGTTTGCAAATCCTTCCCTGTCTTTTAGCTTTTGGCAGCCAAGGCCTGTTGCCAGCCGGTACATTCAATACCCCCTACAGGAAGAGGACACGCAAGTACCGGTCCATGGATCCCAGTGAGGCTTAGCAATACCTAATCTCAAATTAGGCAAGCGGTTTCAGATGAGACACGCTACTTGTCACCTTCATATGACTTGAAATAGCAAAGACCAGGGATAATAAATCACGTCTTTCAGAGCCAGGGCAGCAATTTTATCTGTACTTCAGCCTTATGACGGGAATCTGTGATTACAGACTGGTATCCATCTTTACCAATGTTCTTAATAGCGAGAAGGACTGTCTCCATGTCGAGCATCTCATTTCTTCCATCCTCGACGTCATAGTTGAAGAACCAATTAGAGCCAAGACGTCTCGTGCCTCTGTAGCTATGAATTGAGTTGACTGATGGCTCATGTAAATCATTGAGCCACCATTGAGCAGGTATGCTAACAAAACTATGAGGGGCATAGTACTGTTGCTTGACTACCCAAATAAGCGACAAGTTACCGTGTCACTTACAGCGGATTGCTTCCCCAAGAATTGTACCAGGCAAGCTTAGGATACAGCTGCAACGGTTTGGCTACAGCAACAGAACCGTTGTTGTCTCTGTGTGTTTTCATTCTATAGCATTTCTTGACACAAGCCAGGACAGACATATATCAATGTAAATTGTTGCTTCTTGATCAGGATGGATCTAGATATCGACACTGATGCAAACAGATATAGACAGTCACGTGCTACAGCTTGAGCTTCATCGAGGCTTATGTAATTGCACCCTGCCTGGAGCTCTGAATGGTCCGTGCACCCACTGCAAGGCAGAGCTGTGCCTGACGTGGACCATCCTCGAGTTACCTTCTGGCGTAAAACACCAACCAATCCATCTCTTCCATCTCCCGTAATTATCTTGTTATCTCGTTTGTCTCTGTACGCCCACAACTCACTCCGTCTCAGGGCTCTGCGTATGCCCTTGGACTTGCACACCGGCAGTACTTACCATTCAATTCGACTATTACTACCCCGGTATACTCTTGCACCGCTGTAAACGATCTTCGCCGCCCCCCGATTCATCAGTCCTTCAAGATGCCTGGTATCGTCTCGGCGACCGGCGTTCTCGCCTTTCTCACAGATGAGGAGCCTGAGCTCAAGGTCTTTGCTCTGCAGACCCTCAACGACGACATAGATACTGTCTGGACCGAGGTTGCTGCCGTGCTAACCCAGATGTACGTCATGCTCGCGTTCCTATTCTGAAGTGCCGAGTTGTGTTTGCTAACAGTGTGTTCAAGCGAAGCACTTTACGAAGACGAGTCCTTCCCTCAACGCCAGCTCGCTGCGCTAGTTCTTGCCAAGGTCTACTACCACCTCCAGGCCTACAATGACAGCATGGTGTTTGCCCTCGCCGCAGGTGATCTCTTCAAGCTCGATTCTCCAGGCGAGTTCGAAGAGACCATCATCTCCAAATGCGTCGACCAGTATATCGCCGTCACTGCTGCCAAGAAGTCGACTTCACAAGCTTCCAAGGATAGCGATGAACTAGCTACCACCTTCTCAAGTGGTGTCGAGGGCGCCGTTATGTCACCTACTACTCCCTTCTCGCGAACAACCCTGCCGCCCAAGTCACTGCTCTCTCGCGATTCGATCGATAACACTTTGCTCGAGGCAACCTTTCAGCCCAAGCAGTTCCGCTCTGGCTCCATTGCTGAGCTCCCGGAACAGGCTACTGATTCTCTTCAAAGAGTTATTGATAGACTTTTTGAGAGCTGTTTGCAGCAGGGACGATACCGACAGGTAGTTGGTATTGCCGTTGAGGCCAAGAACTTGGACGTTCTTCGAAGTGTCATCAAGCGCGCGAGTGACGACGAGAAGAAGGCGAAATCAAACCCCCTCGAAAACTCGCCTGGCCCTGCGGAAGATCTTATCGAATATACACTGGGTATTTGCATGGACATTGTTCAAGAGAGGGGTTTCCGAACCGAAATCTTGAGGCTCATTCTTGACCTCTTAAACGAGATCCCTAACCCTGATTACTTTGCCATTGCCAAGTGTGTTGTTTATCTCAACTCTGATGAGGAGGCCTCTCGCATGCTTCGCAACCTTATTAAGAGAGGTGATCGAGCTTCCATCGCCAGCGCGTATCAAATCGCTTTCGATCTTTACGACAATGGTACACAAGGATTTTTGGGCAATGTTCTAGAGTCGCTCCCCAAATTCTCTTCGGCTGAGGATAACGCGAACGAGAATGGCGAAGAGGCCAACGAGAGGGAATCCCTTCTGAAGAACCAGGAAGACTCACCTGAAAATGATTTACCCGAGCCTACACGCAAGGCCTACACCAACGTCCGGGCTATCCTTGACGGAAGTAAGACTATTCGTCTCAACCTCGAGTTCCTCTATCGCAACAACCGCACCGATTTGAGTATCCTCAACAAGGTCCGCGACAGCCTCGAAGGCCGCAATTCAATCTTCCACACAGCTGTCACATTCTGCAACGCTTTCATGAACCAAGGAACCACGAATGACAAGTTCTTCCGTGATAACCTAGAATGGCTTGGCAAGGCAGTGAACTGGTCCAAGTTTACCGCTACTGCCGCACTTGGTGTCATTCACCGCGGAAACCTCTCACAATCTAGGAAACTGCTTGAGCCATACCTCCCCAGACAGGGAGGCCTCAGCAGCGGCTCTATCTTCAGCCAAGGTGGTGCGCTCTATGCATATGGACTTATCCACGCCAATCACGGAGCAGAGGCGCTAGATTATCTCAAGGAGCAATTCGTTCAAGCTGAGGAAGAGGTTGTTCAGCATGGTGGTGCTCTTGGTCTCGGTATCGCAGGCATGGCCACTGGCGATACAGAGGTTTATGACAAGCTCCGAGAGGTTCTGTTCCAGGATTCTGCTCTCAACGGTGAGGCTGTCGGTCTTGCCATGGGTCTGGTCATGCTTGGTACCGGTAACGCCAAGGCCTTGGAGGATATGCTCACGTATGCTCATGAAACTACGCACGAGAAGATTCTCCGTGGTCTTTCCATTGGTATGGCTCTTATCATGTTTGGCCGCCAAGAAGGTGCGGATGGTTTGATCGAGTGTCTTCTCAACGACCCCGATCCTACTCTTCGATACGGTGGTATCATGACTGTTGCCCTTGCCTACTGTGGTACAGGCAGCAACAAGGCTATCAGAAAGCTCCTCCACACTGCTGTCAGCGATGTGAACGATGATGTTCGTCGTATCGCTGTAATGAGTCTGGGTTTCATCCTTTTCCGCAAGCCTGGCAGCGTACCTCGAATGGTTGAGCTTCTGTCCGAGTCATACAACCCTCACGTTCGATATGGTTCCGCCATGGCTCTCGGTATCTCGTGCGCAGGCACTGGTCTAGATGAGGCCATTGATCTCCTCGAGCCTATGATGAAGGACCCTACAGACTTTGTGCGACAGGGCGCTCTGATCTCCCTTGCTATGATTCTCGTTCAGCAGAATGAGGTTATGAACCCCAAGGTCTCGTCCATTCGCAAGACCCTCAAGAAGGTCGTTGGTGACCGCCACGAGGATGCCATGACCAAGTTTGGTGCCGCCCTGGCACTTGGAATCATTGATGCCGGTGGTCGCAACTGCACCATTGGTCTTCAGACCCAAACCGGCAACCTCAACATGGCCGGTATCGTTGGTATGGCTGTCTTCACTCAATACTGGTACTGGTTCCCCTTCACCCACTTCCTATCCCTAAGCTTCTCTCCCACCTCGATCATCGGGTTGGACCACGACCTTGAGATCCCCAACTTCAAGTTCCACTGCGCCACTCGACCAAGCCTCTTCGATTATCCCCCCGAGCAAGAAGTTAAGACCGAGGAGGGACCCGCCCTGATCGCTACCGCTATCTTGTCAACTACTGCGCAGGCAAAGCGACGTGCTCAAAAGAAGGAGCGCGCTCAGCGACGAGAGAGCATGGATATCGACAGCATCCCCGCCAAAACCAGTGGCGACAAGATGGACGTCGATGAAGACAAGAAAGCCGATGAGGCCGGCGACAAGAAGGAGGAGCAAGAGAAGGAAACCGCTGTTTCTGCAGATACAAAGAAGAAGCCTGAGAAGGAGAAGGTTGGCTATGAGATTGAGAACATGACCCGAGTGCTTCCCGGCCAGCTCAAGTACATTAGCTTTTCCGCTGGCCGCTACAAGCCTGTGAAGAAGGTGAGCAAACTTTCCAGTGACACTAAAGCTTTTGCGATTACTAACTCTCTATAGCCCACTGGTGGTCCCTTGCTACTCATTGATAACGATCCTGAGGAGGAAAAGAGCTTGTTGGAGGAAAAGCTCAAGAAGGTCACCACTGAGCGAGCTCCTGTAGCAGGTCAGCAAAACGCCCGAGGTGGACGATCTGGCGGTGCTCAAGGAAGATCTCTTCTCGATGGCCTTGCCGAGGCTCAGCGAGGAGGAGCAGCACCCAACAGTGCTATTCTCGGACAGTTATTGCGCAACAACCAAGGCCGGGCGCCGTTCAATCTCCTCGATGATCCCCAAACTCCTGGGTTCAGGGCTGGTCAGGGTGCTGCAGCTGCTGCCGGCGTGTTGACTGCTGTCGATGAGGATTCTGATGACGAAGAGGCCAAGACACCGGGCGAGTTCGAATACTTCACCGATGCCGAGGATGATGAAGATGACGATGAATAGACTGAGCTTCAGCGGACGGCTATGAGTCTTTGCAGATACAGGACAGGACGACCGTGAAACTACGGACATCGCCTGGCTGGGCTGTATGTATACTTAGAGAGACCTTGACCAATCGAACAGAGTGGTGTTCAAGCGAAGCATGGGGTATCACAGGAAGATGTCCCTGTATACAACAATGTTGAATAGAATTTAATACTTGATCTTGACCATATGCAAAACCATCAACGTGCAAACCTAAGCTTGGAGACCTCAACAATTCGTTCAAGTTTATAGCTTAATAATTAACTATTCTATTACTGGCCTTGTTTAATACATGCCATTCATCGCTCGCTCAGTATTAACCAATGACGCTTTTCGCCGGACCGAAATCCAATACCCATGCGATCTATCTATTGCCGAGAACTGTCGCGCTCGGTGACTGCCTCAACAGGACTCTCGTCACAAACCTTGACTCGATGCCACGCAGTAGCAAGGTTTCCCCGAATATTCCATGTCGCCGCATAACTCTCTGGTTGCGTGTTGTACGCTTCATCCGTGGCTTTCACGACAAAGGTAGCGCAACGCTTTCCGGGCTCTGTTACCTCGAAAGCGTCCAGCGGCACTGGACCCTCAAACTTCCACCTTCGCCACGCCCACGCTGCGTGACCAAAACAGGGAGATTGCTCGCCTTCTTTAGTAGAGCAGTCGGGGATGATAGAAGCCTGGGACCAGGTCTTGCCATTGTCTGCAGAGACGTCAACGCGGACAATTTCGCGACCACCGCCCGAGTATGCGTAGCCTGTCAATGAAGCGGGCTTGGTATAAGTATTATTGTTCTTTGTCCAGTCGCCAAGTTTGCAGGTCGTTATTGCGCTCTGGACAGGCATTTCCTGGATCGCAGGTGCTTTATCCCAATCCACTTGTGTTTGGTTTGGTCCAAAGCACTTGTAATCACGTCGCTGCCATTGAGATGTGCTCTCTTCATCACTGAGGGTGACATGGTTCAGCCATTTTACGGATCGCGCAGCCACATGTCCTGGGACAATTGCGCGCAACGGAAATCCATGGTCACGCGGTAGCGCCTGGCCGTTCATCCCGTAAGCAAGTATCACGTCGCCTTGGGGGTCAATGGCCTTCTTGATTGGGATTGATGCGCCGTATGCTTCCAAGCCATTGAACTGGACATGTTTAGCTTCAGACTCACCCGTCAAGCCTGAGCGAACGTCGAAACCCGCATCCGCCAGTACGTCAGAAAGCAGGACGCCTTCCCAGCAAGCATTAGATATGGCTCCTGTTGTCCATGGGAGGCCGTTTGTCTTTCTTCCTGATCCTTCGTTCATGTGACGGCGGCGGTTTCCAGAGCATTGAAGGGCCGCAGTAACTTTGTGGGACTTGAAGCGTGACTTGAGGTCGCCAAGAGTGTATTCTTTTGTGGTGCCATCAGGAAGCTCTATCGTGAGATTGTGATTGTTGGCGTTCTCAGCGATTTTGGGCACCCACATGTGGTTGCGCACGTAGAACAGGTCGTTAGGAGTAAGGAATTCGTTGGTCATAGCATAGGCAGGAGTCTCTGCATTCCTAGGTTTTGCCGTCATGGTCACCAATGCCGGATGTCGTGCAGGATCATCAGCAAAAGGATCTTCGATCTCATCTTGTGACGGTTTGCCATCGACCAAATCTTCTGGGGCGACATAGCCGATTAGGTATTGATTCAAAATATCATAGACGTAGTCGTTCTTGTGGATGGAAAAGATGTCCCAGTATTTGTCGATAGAACCACCTGCAGCACGAAGGATAACATCGCCACCTGGATGCGCACCTATCCATTCGGTGATGTCGTATACTTTATCGCGGTGAATGACCCAAGGATGATCGGAGTGTGCATCGTGCTTGCGCACTTCATTGATGCGGTAGCAGGGCAGCGAGGATCCGTGTAGGTCGGAATCACTTTCAGCGTGGAAAGCATCGAGTCGTGTAGGAGATTGCTGCACCAAGCCATAGGCAATGCAGCAGGATGCTGCTCCGGCGAGCAGAGCTGTGAAGTAGGCTCCAGGATGTCTTGGCGCAGCTTTTGCTTTATCGGAAGCGGAAGCAGGAGGCTTCGTAGCAGATGATAGTCTGAGTCGAGTCGTGGCGAAGCAACGAGATTGTGCTCTCACAGAAGCTTGTGATACAGGAGTAGGTAATGATCGTAGGGGCCGCAGCTGGCTGGCCAGACGTTGAGTCGATCGCGGTAACATGGCTGCAAGGTTTCTTAGGAAAGGAGATACTGCGACAACGATAAGCAACAAGGCATCGCCGACAAGCTGCCTCTCAGGGCAATATGAATATGCGAGTTGTCGCAATTGATCGTCTAGTATCAGTAAAACTGGAGTAGACAGACGCCACTGTGGATTATCGATACCCTTAGATGGATCCCGTCTTTAACAAAGATGACGTCGGGGAATATCTCGGAGACCCTTGAGATGGAGATGAAGAATCTCATCTTACTTTATATAAACCCATCATGGCTGAGCTGGACTGATAAGCCAGCGGTGAGCCTGGGGATGGACACGTGAATCGAATCGGAAGTCAGGAACGAGTCAGAGCGCAGAAATGTCGATGCCGAGACAAGTCAAGACGAGCATCGTGACCTTCGTAGTTGCACAGTACATGGTAAAGAATGATATTGGGGCTGTTTGGTGAGGATCGATCGGCGACTGATTAAGGAGCAGTCGCCGATTCATGCCGCTGTAGGCCATTGTTGTTATTAAAGTTACGTCACTTGACACATGACGAGGGGATCTCATTGGTTGACTCACCGAGATGGACCCCGAATTGGAGGTGTCACCCCCTGGAAGAGCCCTGTAGGAACGAGAAACCTAGCGAATGACCCCTGTGTACATCTGCGTCCTGCAGTCACTGTTTATCGATACGATATCAACTGCCGCCAAGTTGAGGTGGTCATTAAAATGTTAGTAACCATTCAAATGCCGATGACAGTTTTCATGATATCTTTCCCGCTTATGCATTTGACGGTGAGTACATCTAGGGACTTATCCCTGTTGCATTATCTATCTACTGTAGCAGGTCCACGAATTGATGTTTGCGTCAAACATGGATTGTGCAGGTGTCACGGTGCCTTGTATCACGAAACACACTGGACTGACAAACATCAACTAGATGGATAACGGACAACATTTATCAAAGACCAAATTCACTAAAAAAAGACAATTTCAAACTAAAAATGGGAGCTTGTCAATTAACAAAGAACCTATTGGTTATCGCAACACTGTTGGCACTTGGCTCATCGTATAGGTTAAGGTTAGCACGTTGGTAAGGATAATTGCACAGAAGTCACTGCCTCAATCTATTTATTGGAAGACCGTATCTCATGCTGTTGCTACGTATAATGCATGTCCATTTCTCTTTATTAGCACTGATTTGAACAAAAAAAGGTAAAAATAGCAAAAAGAGAAGATGCAAAAACATACAACAGCGG